TATTAAGCAATATGCCAATAGTCCCTTGGCGATAGAAATACAGGTGAATCGCCAGCATCACCCGAATTTTTATACAGGTTTACTCCTCTGTGAACCTCAGCATCGGCGTTCCCAATTGAGCAACAACCCACTGAGCCCTTCTATTCCCCAATAAGCTAAATTAAGAATATTCCAATAATTAAATTTAATTCTGTAAAGATTTACATGAAAATATTTTTTTAACATAACTGCTGATTTCAAATGTAAATACTTATTATTATAAAATGAGCATTATTTAATGAATGGCGCTTGAAAAGAAAAGTGGAGAGAAGAAGAACTGAAGTGGATTTTTAAAATAGAAAGTTAATATTCAGAAAGCGGAATGGTGAAAGGTCACGTTATCGACAAAATCGCTTTTGTGACAAAATCAGCTGTGAAAATTTGTCATTTAAAGCTTTATTAAATTGGAAAGGTTTGCTTATTAGAAAAGTTTTCTTCACAGTTATCTTCACACTTATTTAAAGTTTTGTTAAATGTTTTTTGAATCACAATGATCATAAAATGGAGTTATCGCATATTTTTTTCATTCAGTAAACTAGAAATTAGAAATTTATAATTATTTTTGAGCGCTCAGTAACATCAATTTGCGGTGTTCTTATCCATTCATTATATGCATTCGAAAATCATTTTTTCTTCTCCTAACAGCTGTCACCATTATTGGTTCCACTGGCAAACTGCGCGATCTGATGCCATCGTCGATAGTAATAAAAGCCATTGTCTTTTCCATCGTCTAAGCTATGTATTGTTGTTGCTCTACCTAAAAACGTTTAAAATCTTTCTTGATTGTATTAGTCCAGGTGATTGGTCCATCTCGCTTTTGACCGTCACAGGGCTTAGTAAGAAACAAAATATGCATCTTGTTGTGGGCGATGAAGAATGCCCTAAGGATGCCCTCACCAGCGAAGGTGATGCTCCATGAAGGTACCGTTAATAAAAGTAGTATTCGAACGAAAGTGAATTCGATTATGTGAGATTTTATCCGCTCGACGCATCAGTAAAAATCTTAGACATGAGTGGTCAAAGGATAATTTCTTAATATCCTCCACTCTCATTGGTTATGTCTCGCTGCCATATAGCAAGATCGAATCGCTGCTATATATAGATTTTCGTTTCAATGGTGATTTCGGCTCTATAAAAATTTCTATAAACCGGAAGAACGACTTTCTAGCTGCCATTATCCGGGTTGTAATATCATCTTTTGCCATTCGATATTAGAGTGGATCTAAAGTATTTGAAATTTAAAATGGGGTACTTCCTCAACGAGAAGTGAATTGATAAAAATAGGTATTTCATCAGCCTCCTATGTATAAGACGAAAAGGCTTTAGCTTTATTTATATCTGTTATGAGTCCGAGTTGTTGACACTTAGCATTATTTTTATTTTATCATAACTGTCAGCAAAAAGGACTACATAAGCTTATTCAGGGTCTGCGATACAATGCTCTGGACTATCTATCGCATAGTTGAATATTGTAGGAAAAAGAACGCAAATGGGCGCCAGTTTTTATTTCGAAGAAGTCTGCAATTTCTAATATACACAGACCTGCGCCGATGCACCCTCATAAAATACCTTTATAAGTCGAATGATCTTGGATACTCTGGAACACCATCATGTTCCACCGCCCTCCAAAGCGCCAATTCAATTGAAAACAGTCGATGAAACAATAGGTTACGGATATTTGAAGCGATACGCCAACACCTTTCTTAATATGAATATCTGGTCAGCGCGACTCGGTCTGAATCCAGCTTGATTAGGATGCATTGCATTGTCCTATACTGCCATAGGTCTACTGAGTAAAAGGGAAGCAAAAATTTTCACTGAGATGTTTAGCAGGCTGATTCTTCGATGATTTGCGCAATATGTTCTGTCACCTTTCTTGGGAATTGGGAATTTCTTTCTTTCATACAAGAAAGGTACATTCGTTGAAGATGCGTTATGATGGACGATCGACAACATTTGAACAATTGGCCAAGGGCAATCTTCTCCGGAAGTTTTATTAACTTGAAGTTTATGGATCACAGAGGTCAGAGATTATTTCCTCTTCTCATGGTGTTTCACAGTTGCATATGGCTCGACGAGTGAATCAGCTATATCTGGGATAACAGATGGTGCATCGTGCCTAAGTTTGATTTGGCCTCAAAAAATTCTTTCCATCTTATGAGGCAATCCTTAATAGTCTAGACAGTCTAGATGTTTCATAAATGTCTCGTATATCTCGTATCATTTCAACTCCTCCTCGAATTATAGTTGCTTTGTGAAGAAAGCGAAGTTTCCTATTATCACCTATCTGAGCCACCGTCTCCATTCTCAAAGCCATATCGCTCCAATAGCGATTTCTATCCCATGCGATAGTCACGATCATTGGGCGTTAGCAGCTTTTTCAAACAGTTGGACAGTTGCTTCTGACATTCAACAAGCGCTTTTTCTACTAGCATACCCTAGTATTTAAGTGGCTAGCTTTTGTAAACATGTCTTTAGTTGGGACCAGAATTCACTCGCTGTTCCACAAATGTCACTGGTATTCATTTCAATGAGGTATTTCATAACACAGTTTGAAAAGCGCTTATTGTTCTCGGATCTTTGAAATTGAGATAGTTGATCTTGGGATAAGTTGTTTCTTACTTGTCAATTTTATGCGAATAATATGGTCAGATCTATGAAAATTGCCGTTTCAGCACCTTGATAGAAACGACCACTTAGTACGGAATTTTTCTAATGGCGACTGATTAAAATATAATAAATCTAGTTGAATTGTTGGTTAATTCGGAAAATTTAGAAAATTCCACGACTAGATGTCGTCCGTGATTCTCAAAGCATGTATTAGTAACAAACAGTTCATTATCCTCGACACTGCGAAGAAAGCGTTTCCCACTGGTGCCACTGGTGCACGGGTCATGCCATATTTGCCAATTATCGAGATCATAACAACGGCATTATGATCTCTGCGTGTATCTACGGCGATTATGAATATATCAATTATGGTAAAGGTTTTTTTAGCAGCTGAAGTCACTATCCTGGCTAATTTCGTTCCAGTGGCTTATCAAATAGAACTGTCAAATAGAACTTATCACGGTCATCTGCCGACGAAGTTGGAGCATAGACATTGATGATAGAGACACCGCAGATCTTACCTTTAAAGCGAACATAGGTCATACGGTTACCAATTTCCATAGTGTGAATATCTATCAAAGCGAAATGGACCTTTTCAAACATTTTTGTAGCATATATGGAATATAAATGATTTGAACTTTTTTAAATAATTTTTCAATTTATAAAGTAACATATATTTTTTCTAGATTTTAAAAAATTATTTATTATTTATTTATTTATTAATTATTTATTTATTTATTAAAAATTTATTTTTTCCTTCACAAAAAGCGATCATGCCATGGAATTTAAATTTAAATTTGAATCAAATTTTTTTAAATTTTTTTTAATACAACAACATTCACTATCCTGGCTAATTTCGTTCCAGTGGCTTATCAAACCTGTCAAATTTTGCAGAGAATCATTTGGCGATAGAAATACAAGTGAATCGCTAATATCACCTGATTTTGAAAATATTTTTAATTATACTTAGAGAACATCAAGATCTGCGTTCCAAAATAAGAACCACAGCCCACTGAACTATTCTGCATTTCCTTCTCCGCAATACTGCCAACTGATGGAGTGTGGTGTATTGATCGAGCTCGAATTTGAGTCAATCTCAATACAACTTTGGCAACCACATACTCATGTGCACTACAATTACTTATTATGACTTATTTCTTTTTTTTAATTAATTTTGTTTATGTTATTTTTTTTTTGTGTTTTCTTTTTCTGTTATCTTAACTGTTATTATTAATACAAGCACATGGCGTTATCGCCCTGCTTGGCTGGTTATCAATAAATAAATTCTATTGCACTTTACAATTTTTAAGATCTCATAAAATTTTTAAAATCACACTGATGAAAAAATAATGCGGATTGATATTGATATCCTCCATATTTGAACCAATATTTTTAGTTTTTCCCGTTCCTATTTAGTTAAAAAAGATATTTTGTCATACAAATTATTTATAGAGGAATTACGCAATAATTCGATTAAATATCATCGCTGCTCGAAAATGATATTTAGCAACGTTAAACCAGATTTAAAAAATATTGCTGGTTATTGCATTAATAGTTATAGACAAGTATTAGTATAAGTATTAGTGCTAAAATTTGTATTTCTTATACTTCTACAATTTATACCTTTTGTTGAAAAACAAATGATTTTAATAATATATTCTGCCAAAAGTCTATAGTTGAAATTCGACTTCTTATAATCAAGTGAGCAGTCATAAATTTTCCTTATTTATATTTGCAATTTTCTCAAATGGAAATTCGTCAGTAAATTTCCAATAAAAATGTATTTAGTTCCCATCTCAAAAAAATTTTTTAAATCAATTCACATAATACAACACGCAATTCTTCGAGAATAATATAAAAAATCTCAGGGAATTGATAGGAAAAGATTTTTACTTTATAGAAAGTCAATGGGAAAAATCTTTCTTTCGTAGAGAGCTGAAGAAAAAGGTTGAGGATATAAGAGTCAGCCCATGAAGAAATGCAAGAAATAACTCATAATTTCTTCTCAATAATTCCTCAGCGAAGACTTTGAATTCTTCAAGCTTAAACATTTTTATGGATTGATATAGCTTGCTAAAATTCCCTGAAAGTTTTTAGAATCTTCTCTGAGCCACAAATTTTTGCAAGAGAAAATAGTCTTAGCAAATTAATCGGCGGCATTGAACACATTCGAAATAAAGATAGGATTAATTTCAAGAAACAGATCCATCTCTCCATTCATTCTTCAATATTCCTTTTTGACACGACGTATTTCGCTTGACAACGAATTTCTAATTATTTTTAAATGATTAAACTATTGCAAATGAGGTTTTTTACAAAAATTTTTTAAAGTTTGACGATTTCTCAGAAATATGATTCGAGTGAGCAAAAAAGAGGATTTAACTATATACTGGGAATTTTCAAGGTAATTTCAATTCCTTTGAAAATTTATTACCAGTATTGTCGACTTTTTTGAGAACATTTTTAAATTTCAAAATTTCATTCAAGATTATTGAGGTATCTAGATTTTTGGTCACATTTAACTTTTCATGAAATGTGTGACAACTATGAAATTTTCAATAACTTTTCTACCGAATGGCAAGAGCAATATGTTCACTGGAAAAAAGCCACTTTCTACTTTGGTTCGATTGGAACTGCAATTAATATAATTCTTTTGATCCTCCTTATTTCTCTCGAAGGATACCGCAGGTTTCCCGTAAGTTCATCGCTTACATATATTTCATTATATATCTAAGAAACTGGTGTGATTATTTAAATATTTTCAGAAATATCTGATCGTTCTGCTCCTCTGATCGTTTTTCTGCTCCTCTGATCGTTTCTTAAATTAAGTCAAAAAATGATGTGGAAATATTTCCTGAAATTTTATTATTATTTGCAGGAGTATGTATACCTAGGGATAGGAGATTTCTGTGCCACTGTTGGACTAATGTTTCGTGGAACAGATCGACTTCAACTTTTTCAGATGATTCGGAGCACTGGAACAGCATGCAGACAGGTTAGGGGCACATTTTGTAGTAACCTTCCCTATATTAGTGAAAATAACAATATAAATAATAATAATAAATAATAACAGTTTATTCCAACTTAAAAAGAGCGAAAGAGCGAAAGAATCTTAATGTTAATTTTAATATAATGGAGCCTTATTTTTTACAATATAACCTCCATTTAAAAAAATAAAGAAAAAAAGGAAAATGGAAAGAACAATTATTTCGGATTCCATATGGTAATTGATCCAAAATGCAAACTGTGAAAGGTTTTGAAAGTTATTTAAATTTATTTTTTCTATGTGCCCCTTTTAAATTTCAGTTAAAAAATTGGTTAAAGGCATTGCATAGTGAAGAAATTTAGTTTTTGCTGTAATTTAATTCACGCGGAAATATTCGAAGGAGTAAATTGATTCACAATTCTAAAATTCGCTGTATTTCGGCTTATGATTGATCGAATTTATTTATTAATCAATTCAAAACAAAAATCCATTTCCATAAGCAATCCGACTTTTGCCTAAATGAAGCAATGGTTTGGTTCAGACTTCAATTACTTGTGCACAAAAGGCTTACATATGGTTGCGACTTGTTGGTTCATTACTCCCCGCACTTATTCTCGTTATTATTGGTTTTGAGAAGCTATCTTGCGTTTTATGGCCAGCCTGGTACAAGCGGCATGCAGAAAACAAGTATGGCATTTTCTTACGTAATTCTGCTTGGTTTTGAATATTTTGAATATAGTTCCTTATTTCTCTTATTTCTTCATTCATTTGTGAAACATAAATTCTTTTATGTTCTATGTTCTATGTTCTATTTTAATAGCACATGACAGAAATTTTCAGGGGCAAAAAAATCACTATCTGCGTCACACTGTACCTCACCTTTAATATTCTAGCAGCTTCAGTGTTGGTCATTGTAAACGAAAACTCAAATGTGAAAATTTCTTGTGGGAGGAAAGAGACATTTTCAAAGCCGTTTATGCTTTACGTTTACATGATTGAGGTATATATATATATATATATATAATTTCTTATTTCGTTGTTTTAGTATAGTTTTATAAAAAGTTTCATACACATAAAATAAGTAAAAGCAAAAGAGAACGTAATTCCTCTAGAAATATGGATGATTCAGCACAATTTTTTATATGAAAATCTCGCTTAATAAGTAAAAAATGCTTTTCTAGATATTGGGATACTTGACAGCATTCATTCTCAATATTAACGCCTATCTACGATTATTGCGACTAACGAACCTAAGGTTAACGAAAATTATTCATGCTTGCTTGGTAAACTTACTACAGTAGTAAATTAATATTAACTACTGATGAAAGCTAATAATTCTCTCTATCGAAATCATCTATTTTAATTGTCTTTAATTCATATTTTAATTCATATTTTACCAACAGAGAGGCAATGCGTAGTTCCGCTAAATTTTTTAAAGAAATATTTTAGAGGGATTTTGAATGCCGAAAATGAAAGAAATTTTGATAGTTCTCACTTGAAATTCTATTTCTCTTATTTTTGGTATTTCCGTAAAATATTGCTTCTTAAATTCTTTCACAACATGTATTATCCTGTCAAAATATGTCCATGCATTTCCTGAAAAAATAGGTTCTATTTTTCATCGAAGAGATTAAAAATGAATATAAAGATAAAAATGATACTATATGAATAATTTTGTGTCCGCAAAGCATTTTGCCTCGGCTGAAACATTGTGGACAGGGCTCCAAACAAAGATCTAACCCTATCGCGTTAAATCGCCCATATTTTATGAAAATCTCTTCTCCTATTCCTCCACTGCTGTACTATCTTCGCCATAAATCACGATAAACCCAACTTTCTGCAGCTCTATTCCTCTCAATCTACTTGGAGCCTCTATTATAACGTCTTTTTAACCTATTAAAAAACCTTATATTAAATTAATTTTTTTGCGAAAAATTAGGAGATGATGATTTAGCACCCGTTTTTTGGCATAATTTATTGTATTTACTGGGAGCTACTAGGATAACATTTGCCTCAGGTTAAGGATAGATGTCTAAACTTATTTATTTAGGTCTCAATACTATTTATTCCTCATTCTCCGGAAGAGCCTAAAGGTGAGCCACATGCGAAACAATGAGCAAGGTTTAATTCTCCATTATCATGAAGATAACATTCATTCCAGGGATGCTGAAAATTTAATCCGAAAAGCAAAAATTTCCTTAATTCTGGCTTTCTTTTCATGCATACTAGTCGCTATTCCAGGGATTTTCAATATGATAAATGCAGTGATGGATTTAAAAGTTAGTTTTTTTTTTTTAATTATCATTCTGATACTAGCACAAATGGTTCGTATTTAAATACAAAAGTTCACGGAAAATTTATAAGGAAATCTTTCCTCTCTATAACAAGGAAGGCACGAGAAAGACATACTCCGTCACTTAAAGAGAGGCTTTCTTTCACTTAAAGAGAGATCACTTGCTTTTGAAAAAAAATTTAGTTTGCGAGAACTTGCCTATATTAGTATCTCAGGCAATTTTTTGGTTTTGTACTAACAGCTAGTGGGGTTAGCAGAATTAAAAATGGTGAATGCTATTTGGAAAAGGCTGTTCAAAATTAATAATATCAAAAAAATATTGAAATCCTCATCTTCGAATTTCTATTCTTTCAATTATGAATTTTGCATTTTTTTCAGAAAGTCAATGTTAGAGAAGCTGCACTATGTTTAGCGTCGATAAATGCTTCCATGAATATTTTCTTGTATTTATGCTTGAAAGGCGAAATTTACCAACGATTACATTACAAATTGCGCACACAAAAAAATCGTATTGTTGCTATTAAAACAGAATTAAGTAAAACTTCTGAGAAAATTCGCAAAACTTGTCTTCGTTGAAATAAATTGCAAAATAGTGAGAATGAAACATTTCGCTGGAGAAAGAAAAAAAAACAAATTTCTTTAAATTTTTCTCAAGACTGGCAAACCAAAAATGTCGTTTAATAAAAAAATCGTTCCTCTTAAAACTGTTTAAAAATATTTTTTTTCTCCTTTGTTTTTTTTTGCTATTTTATGAAAATATATAAGAGTAAACTACTAGCTCTCACCATTTCCGGCTGGGCCAACTCTACCAAAGGTAGGAAATTTTTCGCACAATATCGCTAGGAGGCAAATGGTTACCAGCACCAAGTGAACCTCTTAATGGCGAGTTTGCTTCTGTCTGGGCCAAGAATCTAGATTCTAGTTTTTCAACATAGTAATTTAAAAATCTAGGTCACTCATGACAGAGATGATCGAGCCGCATTTTTTATCGAATTATGTCGAGCATATAAGTTTTTCTGCTTGATAAGAGCAAACGTTTTCAAATCCAGGCAATCCTAAGGGTATTGCCTATAATTATGAGAATCTTTGACGAAAATCAGTGGAACCAGGCCAGATTAGACAGAACATCATTTTATTATAAAAAATTTATTAATGTCTAAGTAAATGATGAAAGAGTAAAAATCGAAAATTGTCGTAGAATTCGTATGTAATCCTGGAATATTGTTCGATATCTTAGTTTTTTTAAAAATTTTGTTTAAGTTTTATTAAAATTTACTTTGTCAAAATTAACTTTAACGATTTTTTCTAATTTTATTTATATGATTTTTGGACGATTGCGAATAAAGGATAATTAATATGTGTAAGTACATAGTAACTCGTAGGTGGTGTGGACCTAAAGAATTATCGAAATAGAAATTATCCAGAAAATTTAAGCGAAAAGCCTAGCAACAATAGAAATTATAGAAAAAATTATAGAAAATTTTATGGTAAATATTAAATCGCATCAAATATTAATTACTGATCTTTGATTTCAAGATTTCAATACTGGATTTTGTTGTGAAAATACGATTTTTCCTTCTCCGCTAATATAATTTTGATAATAAATTTATAGCTCTTAATAAATTTCCCACTAATTCACTGAAGCATTTATTAGTCACATCTTTCGTAAAAGATTCTTACTGAGAAGTACCACAACTGTTCTGGGAAATAATAAAGTAATTTTTTCAAAATAAAGAAAATGGAAGTTTCTCTTTGGCAACTAATCAGTAAAAGTTGTTAGAAGAATTCTACTTACGATCGATGTGAATCTGTAATTTTTAATTTCTAACTCGCTTTAACCAGCGCTTCAAATTTTCTAGAGTTTTTTTTTTGTTGTATACAAATTAGAACTGCTAAGTTCAAGAAGAAATATTTATTTCCATATATAGTGATGCCATAAAATATTTGAAAAAATAATTAATGTGAGGGAAAAAATGTTTATAAGAGAGATTTTCGTGTTTATAGGAAGGTCTCTTAAAATTTTAAGTTTCTCAATTATCGCTCAATTAAAATATCTCTAAAACAAATATAAATCCTTCAAAAATCCCCGTAAGGAAGAGATCTAGGGAGAGAAATTTTGGTGCCTTAGATTTTTGGTAGTTTTTATCTTTTATCATTATACAGTCCTTTATTGTTTCTAAATTTTTTAATGATATGAGCCATCCAATAAAAAATGAATCTTGGTATCTGCATTAATGCTAAAAAAAGTGCTATTGAATATTGCAAAGTGCTATTAAATAAGTCTATAAATATAGTAAATATTAATAAATGGTTAGCCATGGAATGTAGTCATTCATTTATTAAGATTCTTGATCATGAAATTAATGAAGTTCTCCGTGGATTTTCCTCGCCAAAATCCAAAATTGCACAGATATGCAACAAAATACTATTTTCTAAATATAAAGGGCATTTTCTAAACCATGAGGGAATGCCTTTACATTTCTATCACATGAAAAAAATTTTCTTTTTAATTTGTTGGCATTGGAAATTAACGTATTAGAAGAGAAATAATAAAGTAAAGAAGAAAGCAGCAACAAATCTTTATGCTTCTAAAAATTTACTTTTTATGTAAAAACCTCATTCGAATTTTCTTTGCGATCAAGGAAAAATTCTTTTCAATGCATTTGAGAAAAAAAATAATATCCTCAGCTTTCCTTCTTTTATTATTTCAATATAATATCGTGCAGAAATAGGAAATAAGTAAGTAATTACACAATTTTCGAAACAGTTATAAATAATTTAAGAAAGAAATTAACTAATTAATTCAGATTTTAAATTACAAGTTTACGATCAATTTAATGATGGAAAATTTTTTCCAGTGCGTAAACATTTGGTGGAAAAAATAATATCGCCAGCTTTTTTGATTTTTTTCGTAAACCAAACTGGCAATAAGAAACCAAAAAATGTGAGCAATAATAACCAGATCTGGTTCTAGAAAGTATCTACTAAATTTCATAACTATAGTCCTTAATTACGTAAGGAAGTCAGGAGCGATCAATAGGTCACTTAATCATAATAAATGGTCATGAATACTACGACACAGAAGACAATGAATTTTTGTTATTATTCTTAAAACATTTGAATTAAAGGAAAGAGTGATAAAAGAATGGGGAAATGAGAAAAATTACTCGGATATTATAAATAAAATAATAGTGAAAAGATTAATCTTTTTTGGCCACCCCTCATTTGTATTTCCAAGTACCATTATGGATTATTTCTTAATTGGTTTGTGTGAAAGCTATTCCATCTTGGCCTTTTGAAATTTTTTATAAGCTTTTAGCTTTAAATGGGCAAAAAAAGAAAAAAGTTGAAAAGTTGAAAGCAAATTAATAAGACCCGAATATCAATTTTAAAGACAATCGTTCCCCTATTATAGAAAGAGAAAAATATAAGAAATTTCGAAAGAAATTAGCAATCGCTTTAAGGAAAAGAATTTTACGTGAAGAAATCAGCCCTAGAAGAGATTTACTAATTAAGTTTAAAACAAAATTAACTGTAAAAAGTGTGGGAGTCAAATTAATAAGAAGCCTACAAATTCACAAGTGCCAATAAAATAATTTTATTTAGAATATATGGAAAGCTTTCCATCCGAACCAAATTACATCGAGCACTTCTTCCAAGAAAATTCAGTTCAGTTTGGTTTGTGATGCTTTAATTTAGTTTGGACGTTTTAATATGAACGATTTGATTAATATTTTGGGTATATTAACAAATTGTTTTTCAAATTTATTAGTAGTTTATAGACCTCAATTTTTTTACATCGGTTTGTATTAATTTACCAGAAGCTTTTTTTGTTACTTGATGGGCTATTGCGAAATAATGGAGATTCGAGGAAAACATTCAATTTGATATAATTATACAAATATAATTCTAACTGGAAACTGGCGATTCATTAATAGGAAAAAATTTGGTAATGAATTTGGTTCAATTTGCAATACGGTTTTACGAATGAATTTTTCTCGCGTTTTATTCGTTTTTTTTTGCTTTTAGAACGCTCACTTTTATTGGTTAGGCTCGTTTCATTGGATTATGAGGTGATCAAACAAGTTTTGCCAGGTAATCACCTTTTTTCATCTGCACAAATAGAATTAATCAGTGAAGGAAAAAATGGCTTTCAAGGATCAGATCATTCGATATATTAGTAACCTCAATAAGCCTCATTCATGGTGCGTGATATCCAAATTTTCTCATTCAAATGCATATTTTTCTTATTTTTTCTTTTTATAGTGTTGCAATGCTTTTTTTATTGTTTTATCCAATATTAGCTATGGCTCGCCATTGCTCCAAAACGGTCAAAATTTTGATAAGCACCAATATAAATTTTCTTTTCCATTCAAATGAACATTTGTTTAAAATGGTAAATCAGAAATTTATTTGTCAAACAAATCAAAATAATGAATTGAATAATTTGAGAACTGACCCAGCCTGACCAGTAATGATGAGAATGGTGAGTTAGAAGAAGAAATTAAAATATTATAGTCAATTATAGTTTTACATATTATAACTTATTTTTTTACTTTTATTTCAACTAAATATTTATTGAACATTTATTACTTTATTTGTCAAAATCAGTAATAATAATCATTTTTCAATTTGCTCAAACATTTTAAAAAATTCATCTATAAATGTAAAATAATCAAAATTAGATAAAAAGGATCAAATTATAAGACTCAAGTTAAGTAAATCGTCAGTCCTATTATTTCTGGCTAAGCTAGTTCTCTTTTAGTGAGGTTAGAAATTTTGCCCAGGGATCAATAGACAACAGAAAGTGAGATGTTGGCATCAGTTTTTTAAGGATTTAGAGCTTATTAATGCTACTCTCTCACTGAGCTTCAACTACTACTCGTTTATCCTTTAGTTTTTTTATTAGGAAGATAATGAATCAAAAAAATAGCCTATAGTATCCACCTCAATACGTTGGAACAAAATGAAAAAAACATCATAAAACAGAATTTTTTAGGTGCTATACATGGTACCAAAATATATAGTATATAGATAACATGAATATGATGCAAATGTTGAGCGATGACATTTGAACAGCTAAAAAAATGATAAAAAATTATAAATTGGCAAATATCTCATCAGAAACCAATCTATTCTTACTGGCCTCTTCAAAATATGCTACAGTTTCTTAAATTATGCAGATAAACCAAACTATTGTTTTTTTGTTTACTTCAAAATCAAAGATCCATAGCAATGCAGTACAAGGAGTCAAACATACTTATCTCTTTTCTCTTTTCTTATTTCTTTATCTTCTCTTTTTCATTGCATTTCCTTCATCCTTAATCCTTTATGGTCACTGAACTTCGTTAAATTAGAAATCATCTAAAGAATAGTCGAAAATTATTCGAAATTGATTTATTATTCCTAACCAACCTGCTAATAGCTATAATTGTTTAAGAATTCATTAGGCGATTCTCTTTATTACTGGAGTGACTATTATAAATAGAAAAATACTTGATATATCGAGGTATTCAATTTCAAAATCTTTTTCGAAATCTGCAATTTTTAAAGTTTTAGGCCCAGGAAAAGGAACTGTTCTATCGTTTAATTTCACACTGAGCGGTTTTAAAACACTGGAAGTGATAGATTCATTATTGTTAACCAAGCTTCCTGAAAAAAAATTATATTTTTGAGATAGTTTCTAATACTTGACTTATTATTAAATCCTTTTTTTACTTTTATTAAATTCTTGCAAATATATTTAAAAGTAGTCTAACCTGATGTTTTGGTACTATGAGATATGAGTTCATTTGCAAAATATTTGGGATTATCATTTCTGCCAATCTGCGATATGCGTCGTTCTATTAAGGCACCTTTTATCTGAATTTAAATTCTTAATAGGAATAAATGAAACTTTAGCATGTTTCATAAATTTATTTCAGATTTCCTCTTTCACTTCAAAATGGTTCATACTCACTAATACTTCATTGATAGAACTAATTCTAATATACTAGCGTATGCGTTCAGTCATAAATGACTAAACGCTGATTAATTGCTGGGCAGATTTAATGGCAGGCAATTTTTTTCTGGGATTTTTTCATATCTTAATACTTTTCAACTTTTATTTTCATCATTTTTTAACTTCGTGAACGTTAAACCTTAAAACCCTAACGATTAATTTTATTTAAAACAATTGTTTCGTCAACCATTGTTGTTCGACTAAAACTTTATAATTCATATGGCATATTTGGTTTTCATTGGCATTTGATGCCTCTGGTTTATTCGTTCTGATTAACTGAACACCACTAAATTTACAGATTTAAATTTCATTTTTTATTTTCGCCCTTTAAATTAGGATTAACTAATATGATTAATAAAGCCCTTCCCTGAATTTCCCACAATTTTTGCTCGAAAAAAAGCGAAAATTTAAAAGAAAAAATGAAATTATTTAATACATACTGGGATGTAAACGAATGGCAAGCGAAATAACGAGAAATAAGATGGTACCATTAAAGCTGAATCTTTTTCATAATTCCTCATAATGTCTATCGCTGCAAAGTGCCACTTCATATTTTCATTTTCCTCAATGCATATAGGTTCTAATATGTTTTAACCAAATTTTTAAGGATGCTATGAAAATATTATTATTAATGAATAGTGAACAAAGAAATGAAAATTAGTGAAATTTATAGTTTCAGTGAAATAATAATGGACAAATATAAGGATACATTGGTAAGTCATCATTTCGGCACACTGAATGATGGATGGAAATAACCTTGTTAAGAAGTCATCCGCTTATAAGAGATTTATTTAAATATAAGCTTTTTTAAATATATGAAGAATCACTTAAGACGATTTTAAAAAATCGCTTACTTCTTTGCTCAGAAACTTTGTACTCGGAAGGTTTCACGATAATTCTCATTCGCATATTATGCATAAGACATAGCCCGCCAGCTATATTTTTCAAACCATCCATGCTACCTGTAGACACGCCTAAAAAAATCAGGCTTACCAATATAATCATTTGCTCAAGATCAGCTCATCGTTTTGGGTATCAGAGTGTCTCATGCAAGAATAAATCTAAAAAATTCTAAAAAATTTAAATCGTGATCTACAGCTGTACAGCAGATGGCAAAAATTTCTCACTGCATCAACAGCTAAAGGAACGAGTTACTTATTTGCAACTTATTGACAAAAAAAATTTCAACATTTCAATATCTTAATATGAATTAAATATCAAAATATTATTAAAATAAGGCAATTAAGAAAATATTTTGAAATTTCATCTTTGTCCAGTTTCAGTATTAATGTTATATTCTCTACATTATGATAGAGGAAAAATTTTGTAGGCCGTGGATCATTTGATAATTAATTTAGTCAGTTTGCCGCGAATGTTCTACAATTTGAAATTTAAATTAGATTTATGGCCTTATAAGATGAGCTAATAAAAGTTAATGCAATATAATGTAATGATTATGATTAGTAGAGTGAAAGGAGATATTAAATTTTAATTGCAAATATGTCGAATATTTTGTTTCTATCGAAAAGTTTCAATTGCGAGGTTACTGGCCTATGTTTCTGCTTCAGTGCTCTGCTGGTTGAAAATCAGAAATTTCCATGATATTATTCGCAAATTATTCACATCGATAGAGATTACTACAAAAATTTTGCTAATAAAGCTAGTGCTTATAACAGAAAATTCGAAAGTCGAAAGAAAAAACGTCTTTTTCTTTAATGGGCTTTTGTCTTAACCTCTTCATATTTCTTACCTCTTGATGCCTATTGCATCCCTTATGATACCACTTGTTCCTCAACCCCCTCTTTAAGGTCTAGAAGGTTACTTGGCGATAGAAGTACAGTGCACCCATCCAGATTTTATTTTTCATGGCAGATTTACTTCACTTAGAATTAAACCTATGATGACTTGCCCTTAGTGAATACAACACATCATTCGACTATCCTTTCTCTGGGTGACCTATTGAGACTATTTAAATTAAAATATGTGCAATGCCTTAAAAAATAAGTGCAAATAAATGTGGATGAAATTCGTAGTAGGCTATAAATATTTCAACAATTTTTTGAATTTCATTCAAAAAATTTCATTCAAAAAAATGTTCACTCATAAAAAAATAGTGTTCTTTTGGTTGGTAGGATAAAGCATTCGGTAGCAGTGGAATTTGTCGTAATCGGATTAAAATAGAATCATTAGCTTTAATGCATGCGCCAATTATTGACGACGATATTGATAACGATGTAGGCAACTGACAGGATAGAGCAGATTTTTCACCAACCTAGAGATTTTCCATTAACAACCAGTGATTTGTACAGAAAATAGGTAGCATATTGTGAGAATTAAATTAAAAAACATCTACTACCAAAGAAAGAAAAATTGTAAAGTAGTAGAAACAATGAAATAACTTACTCGATAAATTATACTTGATTCCGAACCATCAGTTGAACAGGCAAAACGCAAGCGATCATTTATATGAACAACAATTGTCGGAATATCTTTTTTATGAAATCTAAAGAAATAAGCTTAAAGTGAGTAAGTACCATGCATCTTTATATACTTTATACTGGTTTATAATGTTACATATAATGCTATGCTTATTGTTGAATGAAAAAAAAAATTCTATATGTAAATTATCAAATTTTTTTTCCACTTTGATATTATTTAATCTGTAATTTTAATCCATAGTTCACTACCAATATCAACCAAAACTAATGGTTATTTGTTGAAACTATGCCGATTATTGAGTCAAGCAATTGGGACGAACGTTATAAATTTTTTTTACTCACATAGGATTTGATGAAATCCAACTTATATTAAATGTTGCACAAGTCATGAGCGACGGCATTATGCAGTATATTACAAGCGTATTTACTGATAAGAATACAAAATCTTCCATAATGGATAAAAATTCTGAAATATTTCGCACGAAAAAGTACAAGGATCTGGCTTTTCCTTAAATATATCATTTGCATGTTAACAACTTGATAAAGGTGAAATTTCATTTTGCATTTTGGACGTAACATGAAATTTTTGCGGTCTAAACAGTCTGATGTCTAAACTAAGCCAAACGATTATTTCAACAAATGAAAAATAGGCAGCGTCGTGAAGAATAAATAGTCTTTAATGTTAGATATATCCACTGCCATTGATCTTATAGAGAATTCGTAATTTTATAAACTAACACCTTCGAACCAAATCAGCGTTAATCTGGTTGAAAGAGTACGTTTAAACCTTTAAGCGAATAAAGATAAATCTGATTAACAAAAAAAGCTGAACAATTAATCTGCTGAAAAAATGATGAATCTAAAAATCTTTATAGAATATTTGCTCAATTTCATAAGTCACCAGAAAAATCTTTAACTCTGATTAGCCTCTAATATGCCACTGCATTTACCACAAAAAAAAATCATTTATATACGAGAGAGATATGAAATAAATCAAGAAAACAAGACATTCAGTTAATCAATTAACAAATATATGAATATGAATATATTCGATATAATGAACTGAACAAAAGTTATCTGCATTCGTGGCTTGGCGGTTTGAAAAATGAAAGTAATAAACAGTTCCATTCAACGGTTCAATAAACTTAAATGAACGAACGAAACAATTCCAAAATTCTCTGTTTCGCTGCTTGTTCAACAACTTTGCACGAAAAAGAAACCCATCGTATCACTTTGAATATCAAACAGCACCTAAGAGAAAATCATTCTCGGTTCATATCATTGTGAGAAAACTCGGTTTTTGCATTGAATTAATATAGTCTCTGAACAAAAAATCTCATAATTTTAATTATTGTAAATCATATAATGCACGCGGGTGAATCACACGAATTGATCATAAACTTTTCACAAAAATTCATTAACCTATATAGTTCGCGATTTGCCATCAGTTCGCGATTGATTTTAATAAAATTTTTTCCCGAAGAGTTCAGGTTTTGCAATTTTCTATTTCTGAACGGATTTCCTTGAAATAATTCGCACTGTGCCTTCGACTATGCAAAGATATGCCAGTGTTATAAATAAATAAAAATAAAAAATAAAAGTAAGTGGTCAAAAATAAATGATTGAAGAAAATTTGCACAGCAAAATTAAAAAATTAAATAAATAATTGTCGGCAATAATTCACAGCCTTCTGAACAAAAATATTTTAGATATAATCCTTTCATTGCATAACTTCGTTCATCCCCTTTTATTTGATTTCAGCAAAAATGTTTCATGATTTTCGGTGAAAAAATCGTTGAATTTAACATTTCATGAGAAAATAATTCGAAGATTGTTTCCAAATAATTTCGACAAATATTCTCACGGCCACAAAAAAAGTGAAAGAACTATGGATTCAGCGTTCGATCAATCAGAATAAAAATTCTTGAAATCGTAATTATGTACTATATGTAAATATTGTTTAATGGCAGTGAAATGCATTACTAAATACTGGAATGATATAAAATATAAAAAGTCGAATAGTCGAATATAAGCATTCCGATGGCGATATATAATCTTTAATTAGCCATTCACCTAGAAATTGATAGAAATAGAAGAGACTAATTCATCCAAAACCCACCCATAACGCATGGATCTATTTTTGAGCAGTTTTGAATAGTCAATATCAATATATCGAACTCAATTCGTCAAAAATGCTGTGGACCAATCAAAACCTGGAATGGTGCAAATTTTAAACCTATAGAAGAACTACCAATATGGACTATTAGACTGTGGAAAAAGGAATGGCTTACTATCAGCGACGGTATCAGATCGAGCAGCTTGGAAACGTTTTACGCCAGAAGAACCAGCCTAGCCAGATGAGAGCTCTTACAAAAGGAATTCGTTTACCCTTAGGCAAATAGATGATTAAATATCAAGAGTAGATTAAAATAATAATATCTTACAGAGAAAAAAAACTTGCAATTCATTTGCACCAAATTGAAGAATTTTGAATACATTTCGCAGAAGGTGGAGAGTAAACAAAAATAATTTTGATTTCCAAAAAATCGGAAAAAAGTAAACATAGATCGCCACCTTCAAGACTACACTATTCTCTAAGAAATTTATTTTCGAAAAATAATGCTATAAATCTTGAAAAATTCATGAAACATGTCGAAATCAAATTTGCAAAAAAATTTTATTAATTTTAAAAATGGACATATAGATCTCTTCTAATTAACTAAATAATAATTTTTTAAAATTAACGAAAAATTTAAAATTTAAGATATAAATTATTAAAGGAAAAACAAATTATCAAACGAAAATTTAGCAAGAAATTCGCTGGATTTTTTTTCACATTCGGAAAAAGTGATCGAATCGCTACTATATTGCTACTTTCCGGTATTGAATACCATGAGAATCCCTACTCTTTTCATCCATTCTAAATAGCTTAGAACGAAGATAAAAATTTTTATAAAACTTTTGATTATACTTCCAGAAAATAAATTTGCAAAATTTTTATTAATTAATTGAAAATTAATTTCTAAATAAGCCAAACAAAAATTAATTTAATATTCGTGAAAAAGTGAAAATTGAATAAATTTTTTTTAAAAGCCGAAGATATTTTTCAAATCTAAATCTCTAAATTTCTTTAATATTCTTTTTTTTTAAACAAAGGAATAATTTCTGCCAACATTTCAATAATATACGAAATAATTTTAATAAATAATGGTGAAAATTATAATAACTTCACTAACCTTGACAAATCTTCAAATCTTGGTGTTTTTTCACTATTTTTATGAATCATATTACTGACTATTATTTCAATCGAATATTTCTCCTTAAATATAAAATTGTCTAACCAACCGAAGCATTTGAATATCGTTTTCAAGCGTATTATCTATATTTTTGATTAAAAAACGATTTTCTCTCTTTAGCAATAATAATACTTATTATGAATTTATGATAGGATAGCTAATGAAATAATGCTTATTTATAGTCATTTGGAGACAAACTATGGAGTGTAGCATAACTGCATTTTTTTTTCCTAAAAGATAGACACGCAACCATATTCTCTGTTCGAAAATTCCTCTTATAACAGTTCGTACGTTGTTCCATTGGCAACATATTCTCAAGTTTCCTGAATGGTGTGAATTATTTGAAACCACACTCCATTTTCCACTACAGTTCTCTTGGCCGTATCAATGCAAGCTTTGATTGGTCCTCTCATTTTTGACACCATTCATCGCAAGTTTCACTTCATAATTAGCGAGATCAATTCTTATGGACAACGATGTAGAGCCGAAAATTATTGAAGTATTTTGAAAAAATTATTCAACAGTATGCCCACATCAGTAGCTTTATTCGAATTCCAAGAACAATTCATGCTTTTCTTCCTTATTATACGGATAAGATTTCTAAAAAACATATGAATATTACGAATAATTTTAGCAAATCTTTTATTCACAGTTAGATCGGATACCATTGCAGTTCATTTAGATTATCAACTTTATAACATTTGCAAATTAAGAAAAAAGGCTGAAAGATTTTTAAAGAAAAAGAATAATCAATCATATTTCTTAATTATGAGTGCAAAAAAGAATGTTAAAAATACAATATAACCAATTACAATATATTTACATCAATCAGCTATTAGCTATTATTGCATGTCATTTTTGTTATTTGAAAATGCTCGGATAATTTAAAATCTCAATATATGTAAAAAATGAAAATTAATAGATAACTCTGTCTTATGAGAGCAGTGTGAAGAGTCCTCTCAAAAGACAGTAGGACAGAAATTTTGATTTATTTCGCCTAATTTGAATGGAGATTTTGCTCTAATTTCATTCCAACGTTTTATATACGAACGAAAAAGTCAAAAGAGTTTGATTATCTAGAAGACTTTAAAAGACTGGAACTGGAAAATTTTCAGGTTCAGTTTTAAAATAATTTTTAATAAAAAAATCAGCACTTTTTTTGGTTGATCAGGGTTTTTTAACTGAAAGATTGAAATTTTTGACTTTAGGGTAAATCTCAAAGGCTGCGGATATATAGCGATATAAACAAACAGATAAAAAATTAATTAGCTTCTATGTTAGGAACACAGGTATCTTCAGTAGCTTGAGCAACATAAATAACATAATATAGGAAAAAGATAAGGAAAACGAATGGTGTAACAAATCTCGCAAATGTATCTAATCGATGGTATAGACGAGTAAGACGTTTTTGCTCGTCTATAAGAACTTCCCTTTCGAATTCAGTTTTTGCTTTTAAAGATTGTTTGACCTGAAATGGTTAAGTTTTTAAACATTTTCTAGCAATTTTCCGTCAAAAAATTCATGTCATTGCTCCACAGACAATCTTGGTCGTTAAAATAACATTCAGGAATTGTCACGCATACATTTCGTGTAAGAATATATGTAAGAAAGGACCAAGTGCAATCATTATAAAATCAGAACGGTGCTGGCCAGTAATCTGTCGCCATTGTCACCATTTGACTTCATAGCAAGTTTCTAATCTTATTAACTTAACAATTAGCGTAGCAAGCCTAAATGGTGAGCGCTAACGACTTATTTCTTTTCCTTATATGAAAAAAATGGACCTTTGCTCTGCTTCTTTTGATTAAGGCTAATACTGACATCGATTCGATAAGTGAAAGAGCACTAAACACTTTCATAGCACCAAACCACGTATCAATTGATGTCAAATAACTTGTTCTTATTTCTTGCTCTCCTTTTTCCATTTGTACGAGAGCGAGCAGTACCTTAAATTTACCTTCAAACACAAAAAGGGCCTCAACGACAGAAGGCACAAATTCAGTTGTGGTACCAAACAGTTCTTATCTATTATTCATAAGCATCGAAAAAATTTCTGTTCATTACCATTTTATCACTTTTTTCATAATTTAAGCAATTAAAACGACTATAAACAATAAACTGCTGCAATTCACCCAATAGATAAAATATTTTACAGATTAAAAAAATTCTTCCAGCTTTTTTGAGCAATTTTATATGTTCGCATGAAAAAGGAAAGCCTACAGTGATTGGAGTAATAATTCGAACTTCTTCGTAATAATATGGAACATAAGGAGCAATCCAAGCAAACATCATAGCCAATGTACTTGGAATATATTTTTCAACGATAAATCTTGCACCATCTCTTTCAAGTTTGAAACCAAGTTTTAAGCATGACGAATTTACTGGAAAATTACATCAAATATATATAATTTTCAATGAATAGCTTTTCTTAAGCGTACCTAACTGATTCTCAACTTGACAAGTCGCCGCAACAATCGTTCGGATTTTTAACTCCGGTAAAGTGATAAAATTCAGAAATCTGACGGGAGATGAGTGCCATGAGAAGCGAATACTTGTTTGTGGAAATGAAACTGAAATATTATAAATATATTTTATCTATTCTGTAACGCTTTAACTTGGACATGACCGATTCGATAATGAAGCATCTTGCTTCATATGCCATTATGCAATATCATAGAAGTCAGAATGTAATATTTGCGCAGCCATATAGCAATAAAGAAAAAATGAATGAAATATATTATTCTTAGCTCCAAGTTCATTCTGGTGGGTCGTATTGAGAGCTTATTTGCAATTCTTTTCCAAAATGGCTTTCTGGCGAAACCGCCCTAATAGTAGTCGTTAAAGCTATGAGAAAGATGCTGTGCAGTTAAGGAAAGAAAAAAGATTACAGCTATGTGAAAATTTTCTCTTTAGAATAGTTCTGAAAAAAAGAAGAAATGGAATTTCCAATATGCAACTTGTATTTACGATATAACTGTACTAATCAGGTATTCAAGTATGGGTAGAATAGCGTATTATTGCCGACCAGTGCCATGATAAATCAATAACATACTGGAGCTAATTAGTAAATCACATTCTTGTCGATCATGTGGAAAGCGACAGAAAATCATTTGACAAGTCGGTTGTAATGTTATTCTGAAACTAAGAAATGTCATTTAAGATTAAATTTTTTTCCACTATAAAATTTTGATAGATTTCTCCAATTAATTGCTTTTCCATCGAAGTAATTATTACTAAAGAAAGATTTGTTTTTTCATTATAAACTTTTTTTATCGTTTTTTATCGCAAAATGCTTATGCTAATGAAATGAAATTATAAAAGCTCATTAATTAATTATCGATAAGCTTATTAACTAATAAAATCATTGTCAGATGGCCATATAACATAAATTTCAACAGTTACTGGAATGAAAGGCAAATCAAGCAGAAAAAAATTGATAGTAGAAGAGTCGAGATGATGTGCTGCTTTGGCTGAGGTCAAGTCAAGTCAAGTGAGGACGATTCTCCTCTTTTTTGGTCGAAATAAATCTGTTATTAAAATTAAAATTAAATCCAAGGCGAAGTAAAGGAGCCACCAGTATCTGTACTCAGCAAAGAAATTTGTCTTACTCCTGTAGTCAGTGTGGCCAGGCAGCGGAAGTCGTTGCTGCAGATATAAGAAGAAGAATTTTGTTGAGCAACTTTTTGTCTTTGTTTATTTTTCACGAAATTTTCGTAATTTATAGAATATTTATTTTTTTTTATATAGTACCTCAATGTGTAAATAATTAATCCTTCGGGACTAATATACATTCTGAAATTAGGGAAAGACACTTCATGAAAGTAAGAGTGCTTTGAATTGACAAAATATGGATCGGGCTTCCAAATTTGCTCCAAAATCGATTTTTCCCAAATCCTAATCCATCTTGAATAATTATTCGCTAAGCGAATATCGAACCAACGCATTTCCATTTCCGCATCTAAAAAATAAGTGCTTGAAACGGAAATTCTAAAATGCTAATTAATAGTCCACATTGCAATTATTGTAATTATTCAAATTTTTTGACCAACGGTATAATCCATTTGTTGCGAGTCGAAACCCGAAAGATGAATTATATTTAGCTGAACTCGAACATTGACCGGCACATCTGAAATTCGGTTCCATTAAAAGTTAATTCTTTCATTTTGGATAGAAGCATCGACTTCTTAACATTTCGTCCAAAATCACTTATTTACGGGAGAACTATTTTACTGCCATGACTGAATAAATTAACCTGGGAATATTGTAGGAACAGTTGTATTATCATAGTTCACTGATTTAAGTACTGGCAATATGAAACTACTTCCATAGTCCCTATAATTTATTATATGAGAATGATAAGGCTATTGGTAGGCTTAAAAACATTATAAAATGTTGTTTATTTTTTTGTTCGAAGAAATAACGATTCTTACAAGACCATTTAATAAAATTGTCATAAGCACTTACTTATTACTTATGGTAGCCTTTTCTTCCAGCCTTGAAAGATTTGTCAACATTAATTTAAGTTCTGCTATACTTTTAAAATTCGTATCAATATCTGTATTAAATACCGTTTGTGGGGCTAATTTTTCTGCGGAAGCCATTGATTTGGATGAAGGAAATATTGCACTTGTCGCCGTTGTTGCTGTCAAGCCTTTTTCAAACATAACTGAAATAAAAATTTGGTGCTAACCCAAATTTTCAATCACAACGATTTGTTCAATACAAATTATCAAGCATTTTATTGCCAGAAAGTTTCAATTCTTTCGCTTATTCTTAGAAATGTTACACAGAATTTGAATTGAATTCCTTAAACTGAGTTTTGGTACTTCTACGATGATTTGAAAATCTAGCAATGGTTGCTGTTGCGAAATATTGCAAACTGACTTTAACAATTTTATTCATTTGATTCCCTGTATTTTATCAAATACAATATCTTTATTTATTTTATATCCTTTGTATATGAAAGTTTCCTTTTAAAATATATATTGCTTAATATATTTTTTGTCATAAATCTTTGTTTTTGGATCACAGAGAAATTTGATATTCTGAGACCTGAATGGTCCGACCCCAAATATTCGAAATTTTTTAAATTAAAGTTTTTATTTTTTTATTTTATTGTCGAGGAATCAACCTACGAGACATCTGAGGGAGAATTTTCGCTTCCATCCTATTGAATAGTCTTATACCAGCACTAGACAGCGAAATGTACCCTAACCAAGCTGGATTTGACTGAGACCGAGATGTACTGGCTCAGATATTTATGTTAAAAGGATATTGAATATCGCTTTCAATATCCGCAATCAACCGTTATTTATTTCATCGATTTTGCAGTTGCCTTCGATTCAATTGAGCTTTGATGGGTGATGGAATGTGAAGATGTTCCAGACATTCATTCTCACCATAAAGGCCTAAATTACATCGGTCTATGTGGGGAACTGATAGAAATAAAACTGGTATAATAACCCTTCAGAAATAAGAACTGGTTTTTATCAAGACTGCATCCTTTCCCCCACAATATTCAGCTATGGGATAGACTGAACAATTGACATCGCTTGTTATTCAAGAGGTATGCAAATCAGTCCAGAGTATAGCATCATAGATCCCGAATATGCTGATAATTTTTGCTGATGCAAGTAATTCTAAACAATATATCAATAACTCCAGCAAGAATCCGACTCAGGGTCAATGTAAATAAAACTACAGACTTTTAACTTTTCGTCTTATATACAGGAGGATAATGAAACGCCTTTTTTTATAAACTCATTACCGACTGATGAGGAAGGAAAAATACACTCTAATACCAAATAGCCAAGCAAAAGATGAAATTACAAAGGATAACGGCAGCTAGAAATGTATTCTTCCGATTGACGAAACCTTTGTGGTGCCAACGTGAAATCACCATTAAAACGAAATTCCGCATCTATGTTGCTGCGATTCGTTCAATCTTGCTATATGGTTCTGAGACCAATGAGAGTGGAGAATATTAAGAATCTATTTACCTTTGACTACTCTTGTCTAAAGTATATTTTACGGGTTCGCCGAGTGGATAAAATCTCACATAATCGCATCCACTTTCGTTCAAAATAACTTGCATTAATAGCACCATTACAGAACGTCGCTTTAGCTGGTTAGGACACATTTTTCGTTGCCCACCACAAGAGCTGTCACACATTTCATTACTTGCTAAAACCTATGGTGCGTCGCATTAAAAACCAGGTGATTCAATCAAGATCTGGATTGATACGGTCAGGAAAAATTCTGAATGCATAAGTGGACTAGCGATATATGGACTGACGGTGGAAAAACGAATGGCTTTTACTTTTAGCGATGTCGTCAGACCGAACAGTTTGGACATGTATTACTATTGTGCCATTGTAGCAAGCGGAACCAGTCTAACCGTGAGAGTTGTTAGAAGGAGCTTTTATATTATTGGAAATTTACGAATCTCTAATTAGGTACATTTTTTGTGGGTATTAATGAACTGCCATCTATTTTTTATGTTTCTTATTTTAACAAAATTTTAATAAAATTAATTTATAATTTTATATTAAAAGATTGAATTATCCAAGTTTAATAAAATGCTCATTGTTGCTGTTTGTGGTTATAAACCATTGCCAGGTCACTTGGCGGAAATGTCGTGGAACCAATTAATATCAACTGGCATATGAGTACCATAATCGCCGACAATCAATTAATATTAAGCAATTCTTTATTGCTGCTGTGGGATCTCAATATAATCGATTTCTTGAAATACGATATTACTCTCAATGAATATATATATATATATATATAACCAACCGTATTAACAATTTGATTTTAGTTCAATTTATTCAATTCCAGAAAGGGATGCAAACTAATGAGCATAATTGAGAAAGGATGCAACAAAAAAATTTTTGCACCTAGTGCTGATGTTGTAGTAACTTCTTTCTTGGTTACAAGTTTTCGAGTTCCGTAGATTGGTGGAGTCGAATGAGACTGAAAAAAAACAACTTGATTATAGGAATAAATGAGTAGCAATATCGATGCAATATTTAATTAAAAAAAAGGAAGAATGTGAAATTAAAATTTGTTTCCAGAATTCAGTTGAAAAAAAATGTTTATTCGCAATATGTGGAACCCACAGCAAGTTGCGGAAAATTCGTTTTCTCACGATTTAGATCTACAATGAGAATGCATCTGCTGAATATAAATCAGAATATTTAGGTTGAAAAAATTTGTCCAAACTTCACCTTAGGCGTCGTTATAAACGATGCTGTCGATGTTCGTTTTTGAAGAGATTCTGACGCATCTGAAATAATCAGTCAGAAGGCTTTGAATGCTTTATCTATAAATAATAGTTTAATTTAATTGTATAGTTGGAATGAAGCTTTTGCGGATTAAAAATATTCAAATATCATTCCTTTTTTGCGATAAAATGCTTTAAAACTGCAAACTTGCAAAAAATAGGTAAAAATGCATAAGAGCCAGATTAATAATGATAAATTAATAAAATAATTGAAGAAATCTCAGATTTTTTAAATTTAGACCTATTTAACACTTTTTTGGTTTTAGCTACAGAATTATCTTGCAAACCTGGTTTAAAACGATGTAATCCATTAAATGCCATAAGAACTTTATCTGCTTTCGAATCTATATGGGCTTGAGTTGTTTTTATTGGTGATAAAATTGAAGTATATGACAGAATAGGCACCAATGATCCGGTTGCATCAGTGGATGAGATTAAATCAGAATTTGGTGAAGTGGATGCAGAATATTGGAGCATATCTGATTGTGCTGGTGTTGAAGTTAAAATGTAACGCGAAATTGCAGATATAAAAAATTTAGAAGAAATCAGTGGAACTGTATCTGCATCACTTATAATTTCTGAGAATGGAGAAAATGTAGATAATGCACTTGCAGTAACTGGTTGCTGATACGGCATTTCTGAAGTGCTCTTTTTACTTCCATCTTCGGATAGAGAAATACTGGTATATATGTGTGATTCTAGTGGCATAGAAGCGAAGTCTGAAGTTGTGGACATAGGGGATTCGGAAGAAACTATCGAAGGAACTGTATCTATATCAATTGTAATTTCTGGGGATGGAGTAGCAGAAAATGTAGATTGAGAAGTTGCAGTGGCTGATTGCTGATAAGGCATTCTTGAAGAGGCCTCTTCAAGTTCTTCGTCAGACACATAAGCAGTGGTACGAAAGATATCTCGAAAGATATCTGCACTTTTATCTTCTTCCATTTCATAAATCGTGCCTTCCGAGATCTCTTCGAAAAGATGTTGTTCTTCATATTTGTAAGGATCAGCATTTAAATCAATATTTGCTGTTGGAAAATATGAGTGTGATTTTGCCGAAGTCTGCGTCGTGGTAAGAAATGAATTATGATATAAAAGACCCGATAAGGGATCTGCGCTAATTACTGCTTGATCAGTTGCTGTTTTATATACATGGTTAACCGGCTTCAAGGGAGAAATTTCAGCTTTAAAGTAATAGAAATAGAAGAGATCATTCGCACGATTTAAAGTTTCAATTTGAGGATCCTGGATTTCTTCAATAAATGCACGCAGATTAATAAGCGCAATCCGCATATTCGATTCTGAATAATTTCATTTTTGAATAATAATAATTTCGAATTATAATTTTAAAGCTGATTTTACCCTCCTAGGGAAAGGCGATCGACTCGTATTGCTTCAACTAAGGTGAATACATTAAATATTCGACTTCTGCGCTTCACGGAATCACTAAAATGAAATCGGATTGGTGTTCAGGACCCATTTATATTTCTAATTCTAATTGACTCTGGCGTAATGATCGCATCTAATAATAGCCACTGGGGTTAGCCAAAGTAGAAATACTGAGCGTCTTATTATTAGGTTATCCTAAGAGTGCATGCAGTTTTACCGCTTATTTTTTAAGACTACAGTTTTATCAAAAATAATTATTTTTGTCCAAAATTAGTACACTTTTGCCAACTTTATACAATTTATTTTTATTTATTTCGCTGCATAAAAATTTCTAATTAATGAAGAACCAATGGAGAAGATAATTTAAAGATCCTCTTCCTTTTGAAAGTGTTTCTCCATAAGGAAGAGAGAACGAAAGAAATGTTTGGATGAGAGAGGACTTTGTTATTCAATGATTATTGCAGCATGAATCTAGCAATGATGTGCAGAATGATAAGATCTTTTTTTGTTGGTCAGTGCTGATCCATGTCTGTTATATTGGTAAACTATTTCCAATTCTTCAATTTTCAAGAAGCTATAGTGAATTAATCCCGCAATAGAACAGTAAATAAAGTCTTTTTCAAACGAAGGTTATTTTGACATGAATGGGGGATTCATCCTCATACAGCTATTTCGCTGACCTTTTCTTTTTTTATTTCAGAGAAGGGTCATTTTATTGCTGTATTACCAGCGAAGACCTAATATTTTTATCTACGCTCAGTCAATTCGTGGAATATCCATTTGTTGAGCTTTCTCTTCCATCTCATGCAATTGATTCCACAACATATTATGGAAAACATGAAACTCATTAAATCCACATGATTCCAGCCGCCATCATTTCCTTCCTGGGACCATATAAAACTTGATAACAGTCCACAATGTAAGGCATTTTCGATATCTATATCTACGGAATTTCACAAACTCTTGTGGTAGATGCATCACCAAAAGCTATTTGCATTGCGAGCTGCCTCTATTGCTCGATGACTCAAACTTATGAATTGACACAGCTCGCATTCACGCTATTAACTATCAGATTTGATCATCCAAAAAAGGTTAGAGAGGTTAGCCAACTTAGAATGATAAGTATGGCCTCAGATATACATGTCACTTTTAGGATATCATCTAGCCGAGTAATTCATTTATCCATTTTGAACAATCTGATAATTGAATTTTTAAAATAATTACGTAGGGATAATTAACTGGAAATATTCGTATTCTTAAAATTTATTCCATGAAAGAACTCACAGAAAGAATGAAATCATGGAAGGGTTGTAAACTTATCTATATTTTTGTTCTCAAAATGACTTTCTGGTGAACAAGTTTCACCTTTCCAATCACTGGGATCAACCAAATTGTGATGAAAAATTAGTAAAATTAGGAGAAAATTGTTAACCATTTGAATGTGCGATAACAGTTCGTCGATATGCAAAAGATTTTGTTTGAAAAAAGAATAAAATTACGGATAATAATGCTCCATTAGATAATTTTTTGAATGCCATTATCGCCGACGATTCATAATTTTCCTATAAAAAAATAATTGATTGAATAAAATAATTAATTAATGTTATTAAAATCATGGAAAAGAAATTTTCGTACGATTCAGTTTAGTAAACTAAAAAATAAACGAAAATTAAAAAACATTGCAATTGATTTTGGAACGTTGAAGGGAAAACGTTGCGAAAAGTCGATAAGAAATTTAGAAATTCAATTAAAATTTGTTTGTCACAAAAATTTCGTTCGGCCTATAATTTTTCATTGTAAATTTCGCACCTAATGCATTTTTCTCAATAAAATTGTTTATAAAACCGATAAATTAAACTTAACTAAAGCGAAAGAAAATGAGAGCCAGTAATTCCTGGATCATTCCGCTGGCTGATTAGCATTATGATAATGGGAGAGTGCCAAAAAATGGACGAGCAACTCAAAAATCTCGTTATTCGCCAGTTTTGGATGGGTTTTAAGAATGTTAAGAGAGGTACCTGCCTACAAAAGTAAGAGAGGAGAGATTTCGCAGGCAATATCACATTTCCAGATTTTAAGAAATTTAGCAGTTTCTAAAACGTGACGAAATTTATGCGTTAGGATATCTTAAAGGGATATATCCGCTAGGGAAAAGAGCTGACGGGAAATTTTCTTAGATTTTTTAAGTAAATGCGTTAATAAAAAAGTTTGCGTATAATTTTTTTAATATGATATTTATTAAATATATTTATTTTTTAAAAATATTTTCTGCTTAATTCAGACACTTTATGAGATATGAGATATTACATATTTCATTGATAAAATCCGCTATTTTTCATGTTTTAATTTGTTCGATCGGTGTTTAGAAATGCAATGAAATAAAATTTTAATATGGAGTATATTTTATTATATTTTATTTTATTTATATTTTATTTATATTTTATTATTTATATTTTATTTTATTTAATATGGAGTATATTTTAACTATATTTTATTTTTTTTTAGAATTTATATTCATGAAAAATCGAAAAAATAGAAAATAGAAAATAGAAAATTTAATTAAAATTAAAGTTCCTAAATGAAAATAAAATTAAAGAATAATTTATTTGATAAAATTTCGCATAAAAATATTTTTTGCTTAAACTTTTTTAGACTTTTTAAGAATTGATTAATTTTATTCAAGAAAATAAATTCTCACTATAACTGGTTAGGCTGGATCCTCTGCCTACAAAGGTAAGACATTTCCAAGCGGCGCGGTCTGACGGTTTGATGCTATCGTTGACAGTAATAGAAGCCATTCCTTTTTCCATCGTCTAAGTCCATATATTGCTGGTCCACGTATTGTCCATGTTAGTCCAGGTCCTGATTGGTCCAGCTCGCATTTGATCCATTATAGGGTTTAGCAAGTAACGAAATATGTGTTAATTCTTAATTCTTATAGTGGACGACGGAGAACATGCCCCAACCAGCGAAGGCGACGCTCTGTGAAAATTTATGCAAGTGGTATATGAACGAAGCTGGCTGCGATCATGTGAGATTTTATCACTTAGCGAACTCGTAAAACATATTTTAGACATAAGTGGTCAAAGGCAGATAACTTTGTAATATCCTCCACTCTCACTGCACATATCTCGCAGTCATATAGCAAGAACGAATGGCTATATAGACTCTCGTTTTAATATAGGCTACATAAAGGCATCGTCAACAGGAAAAACGCATTTCTAACTGCGATAATCCTAGTCGTAATATCGTCTTTTGTCTGACCATTTGGTACTGGAGTGGATCCAAGGTATTTAAAATCGGGCACTTTCTTAACCGGCGATAAATTTATGAAAATATTCATCTTGAATTCATCTTGCATATAAGACGAAAATGCTTCCTTTCATTTGCATTACTTTTGAGTATAATTCTCGCTGCAGTTGTTAACAGATTGTTTAACATTTGCACTTCATTATAACTGCCAACAAAAAGGACTACATCATCAACGTATTCGAGGTTTTTAATGCTATGCTGTGAACTGATTTGGACACCTCTTGAATGCTGACAAGCGTGTCCATAATCCAACCTATCGGACAGTTGAATATTGCAGGAAAAAGGACAAATAGGCACCCCAATATACACAGACCTGCGCCGATGAACGCTCATAAAATACTTTTATAATTGTAGATATTTAAAGATGATCCAACACCCTTCTTAACGTGAATATCTGGTCAACACAACCGCGTCCCGTCTGAATCTAGCTTGGTTAGGACGCATTTCGCTATCTCGTGCTGCCATGAGTCTATTTAGCAGAAGGGAAGCGAAAACTTTTTCTGAGATGTCTAGTAGGCTCCTTGGTAATTATCGTAGTCCCTTCACCTTTCTTAGGAATTGGAAGCAGAATGTTGCTTTGCTCCAGTTTTCTGATAATATTTCTTTTTTCCATACGAGAGAGTACATTTGTTGAAGGTCCATTATGAACGATGATAGACAACATTTGAAAAGTTCAATCTGAAGACCATCTTCTCCGAGAGTTTTATCGGCCTTGAGCTTATGGATTACAGAGATTATTTCCTCTCCCTTTCGTTTTCCTTTCGTTGACGGTTCACAAACGTAAGGCTCGATGGGCGAATCAGCTATATTCAGGATAATAAATGGTGCATCGTGGTTAAGTTTGGTCTCAAAAAATTTTTTCCATCTTCTAAGGCGATCCTTGTCAGCTTTAATAGGCACTCCATTAATCCCGTACCATTTCACTGATCCCTTCTCGAGTTATAGATGCATTGTGAGGAAGACAAAAAAGTTTCCTATAATCACCTATCCGAGCTCCATTCTTCTCCATTCTCAAGGCCATATCGCGTCAATAGCGATTTGTGTTCCGTTGTGCTGCTGTCGTTGTAATTCTTCGAAGCACCCGATAGTCACGATCTCCTGGCATTAGCAGCTTTTTCAAACAGTTGGACAATTGCTTCCGACACCCAACTAACGCATTTCATCTTAATATACCATAGTGTGGAAGATGTCATTTACGACAATTTTGCTGAGGTATTCCAATACGGTTTGAATTGCGCTTATTGCTCCAGGATCTTTCAATTTGAGATAATCGAAAGATCTTGAGATATGTTGTTTTTTACAACTTATCAATTTTTATACGAATCTTAGCTCGAACCACAACATGGTCTGGTCCATGGTTACCGGTTTTAGCACCCCGATAAGAACGACGACTATCAACTATCAAGTACAAAACTCTTCCAGCGGTGACTGACCAATATATAATCATTCTGATTAGAATATTGGTTGTGCGGAGAGTTTCTAGATGTAGATAAAGTTGCTAGATGTTTCCTCTGAAGCCGAAAACGTGTAACAAAAAATTCATGCTCTTCGGCAAAATGAAGAAGGCATTCTCCATTCGCGCACTGGACCCCGATGCCATATTTGCCAAGTACCGAGTTCACTGTAACGGCATCATGTACGAGCGCATTCCAGTCTCCCCCCATCATCACCATGTCATGTTTCTGGAGAGGCTTTGTTAGCAATTTGAGATTCTGCATAGAATTTATCTTTATCACGGTCATTCCCGACAGAGTTGGAGTACAGACACTACCGAGATATTGCAGAACTTAAACAAGCATAGGCCATACGGTTGCTTATCGGTTCCCGCTCAATCAAAACAGAATGGGCCTTATCAGATATGATAATCGCTACGTCATTTCGCCCCCGAGTTATCCGAAGCACCACAGTGATATAGCCAGTATCTGTTCTGAACCAGGATTAATAATTGTTCGAGACTCAAAGTGAGGAAGACGAACCTCTGACAAGCGATATCCACACGATACTTAGAAAGGGTGTGATCGCTTGGCTTGCAACGTCCATAAGCGTTCTGACGTTCCACGCTGCTAATCTGCTCGATGCGCTTGGAGAGAGTTGTTCCCCTTGATAAGTTTTGAATAATTACCCTGACATGCTAGCACATTTTATTTATCAGCATTAGGATCACTTTAATCCCAGATTGTATACATATCATATTTACCAGGCTGGGATTATCAGGATTATCACGTCAGAAAAAGCTGACTTCGTATCAAGAATATATGACCCTTTCACCATAGAGTTCTTGGAGATAGAGTTACAGGTGGATACCCAGCAACTACTTAAATTTTTGCCATGATAGATTCACTCCTGTCAAAGATAGACGTAATTATCTTATATTATTTATATTTAATATTTATTTATTATTTTAATATTATCATAAATTTTTTGTATATATATATATTTATTTCAATTCTTTGCTTTTAAATTTAGAAAAAAAAAATCCAGCCTATTATTAAAGAAATAAATATGTAAGTAATGGTGGATTGAGCTAAACAAGCGCCTTTCCTTGCTATTCTTTTTTTCTCGTAAGATTGTGCACCATTTCTGGTTATTAGGGTGGTGGGATTTTCACCAGAAAGTTAATTTTTAAGAATCCCTAGAACCGAAATTATCTATTTATTCAATGATATGATATAAAATAAAAGGGACAATGCCAATGATCCCTAATCGCTAATCTGATAATTGTGAAGCTTACGTTCTATTTCAATAAGAACTGGGAATTGGTACTAAATTGTTGAGTAAATTTGTATAGTAAAATCTGTTCTCTAATACAAAACCAGTACATCTTTATATAACAATAAAGGGGCTTCTATCACAATCGCGGCCATACTGCTAACTGACCCTATCTTTGTTCATTTAGCCAAAAATACTATTTCAATAATAACTGCCCATAATTTCAATTGTTGCTAGGCAAATTGATATTGGGCTGCAAAAATACGAAAATTTAAATAATGACTCCTAAGACAATTATTTCACTTGGAGTAAATCCCAGTTTATAAGTGATGTCATAAGAATGAATGTTTTGGTGGGTGGGTTTCTTATTCGTTTTGTGCCTGCGCTCGCCATTTATTTGGTTGTTTGTGCTAGGATAGTGGTCTATTTTCGACGGGTTTACCCGGTGGATTGGCATTTGGGGAGGTTTTCATCTTTAAAAAGTCTTTTTTGCTGAATTTCCAAAATTTTTGTAAAATTTTTCTTGTTTTCTTTTCCTACAATTTTTCTTCTGATTCGTCATTAGTAATTCATTTTTTAAATTAACATAAGCGTGTTTTGAATTTTTATTTTCGGCACTTCCTGAAAAATGAAAATAAAGAATTATCGAATGATTTAGAAAGCAAGGGGCACTGACGTATGGATAATATTGATCCGGACACTCTATTAGAGTGGCTGCAAACAGGGGTCGATGAAGATCGAGAAATCCAGGTTTTATTTATCTTTTTATTTAAGAAGCATTTTTTTCAGCTTCATTAGATTTTCATTAGATATTTGCTGTTGAGAACAATCATCAGAGATTTCGCTGATTTTCTACTTGAAGATTGAATTGATAAAATTAGAGAAGACAATTTTTATAAACATTGAATTTTGGATTAGAATATATTTTGGAATGAGTTGCTGTTATTACCGTTGGACATTAATATTCTATTATTCTATATAAAATAAGGTTAATAAATATTTCAGTTAACTGCTCTTGAACAGCTGTGTATGCTTTTGTTGATGAGCGACAATATTGACCGATGTTTTGAAAGTTGTCCACCGAGAACATTTTTACCAGCGCTTTGTAAAATTTTTCTCGATAAAACTGCTACCGAAAATGTTTTAGAGGTTAGGAATAGTCATTTATTTGTTCGTTCGCTATTTTTAGGTTTTGGATTCATACAAAGATTATGCTTCTTTGTGGTTTTTCTCTTTCCTAGTTCGATTTATCCTCTTAGAATTTTATTTCAGGTAACTGCACGTGCCATAACTTATTATTTGGATGTTTCTAATGAGTGCACTAGGAGAGTGACGCAAGTCGATGGCGCTATCAGAGCGATTTGCAATCGTTTGACAATAACTGATTTAAATGATCGAACAAGCAAAGATCTAGGTAGGCCCTTATTAATATTACTGTCATCGTTTGTTATATTAGTATCATTTATATTCATATAATATATTAGTATCATTTCATGCTAATATTGAAATTTTCTTACTAGCTTCCCCTTTCTTTTTCGTTATGTCGTTATAACTGAGCGACAAATTTTATTTTTAATTTTTATAGTTTTGCGAAATTTTCATGTTTTAGCTGAACAGTGCGTGAAATTGTTGGAACATGTTTGCCAAAGAGAAACGTCAGCAGTATATGATGCCGGTGGACTGCAGTGTGTTTTAAGTCTGATCAGTCAACATGGCCAGCGGATTCACAAGGTTAGTTACTTTTTTTTTATTTTTTTTTATTTTTGTCACTGAAGTTTATTAGAACTCATTCTTTATAGTACTACATTGATTTAATATTTGTATAGTTTGAAATTGGTACAAAATTTTGTATTCAGGATACGATGCATTCTGCTATGTCTGTGATTACTCGTTTGTGCAGCAAAATGGAACCAAATGATGCTGCTTTACCAGAGTGCAGCGCATATTTAGGTGCATTACTGGAGAATGATGACCCCAAGGTTTATTTTTTGTCCTCATAATTCATTTTATCAGGTTTTAATTTAAAATTTAGAAAATTTATGTCTTATCTTAAATTCAGGTTTCTGAATGTGCTTTGCGCTGTTTCGGTGCCCTTACAGATCGATTTGTTCGGAAAGCAATAGATCCTGCGGAAATGGCTTGTTATGGTAATCTAGTTGAACGACTGCTTAATTCTTTGGCTCCACCTTTATTACCATCTGTTGCATCATCTTCTTTGCTAACCGGCACCACTCATATTGTTAATGTTGCATCATCGTCATCCATAGTATCTGCAGATTCATCATCAAGTGCAATATTGACCAATCAACGAACTACTTCATTTATAATATTGGTCATATCGCTTCTTAGCAGCCTGTGTAGAGGCTCTAATGCAGTTGCCGAGCAAGTTATTAGGTTTGCATTGCTTTCTCTACTAATGTTCATCCATAAAATAAATTCTATTAGTTTTTTTACTGATAAATTCATGAATGATGGTCCGAGTTCTTGAACGATGGTGCATAACGATGGTAACTCTATTTTTTTGAGGATGTCAATAAAATGAATATTTCAGTTCTTGTCGACTTATTGTGGCCATTAAAAATATATTGATATGTAAGGATGAGCACTGTATTGTTGATACTCTTCGGTTTTGTGATATACTTATTATATTACTGCATGAAGGGCGCAAAGCTTTGTTAAAAAATTGCGCTTCTTTATCTTCTTCAACTGGTGAAACGGGTAATTTTATTATAGCTTTTATTTCATAAACCTTTTTTTGAAATTATTGCATCATTGGCTGGAAATTACTGTAAAATATCTTCACTGAATTGAATATTGAATTTTTTTCAAAGGAAAAGTCACAAATTTGGAATAATCAAATTTAATTAAAATTTAATTGAAGGAAAATTTTTTTCAGCTGATCGTTCTCGTCGTTTTCACCTTTTGGATGCAATAAGGCAAAAGGATGCTGCAGCACTAATAAATTACATGGAATCAGGGCAAGTAAGTAAATCTTTTTTGAACTGATGATAAATTATGAAAAATTTCAGCTCTTTTCAGTTTCAGTTCAGTTGAACGAATTATTTGTTTTGCGTAAAAGTAAGGCTGAACTATGTTGTGTTTTGTTTGAATTAAGAATTCTTAGCCTTTTTGAGCTTCCTTGTTGAAGACTGGAGCTTGTTTTTAAATGTTTTTTCATAAATGATTGGTGATTGGTGTTTTTTTGTTGATATGCGAGTTCAGTCAGCGTCGGGTAATTTATTGAGTAGTAAATGATGAGTAGAGATATTAATATATCGAGGGAGACTTTCAGTCAGTTTCATTATGCTCGTCACTGAGGTAATGCCAGACGGATATTTTCAGATATTAATTGTTTTTCAGTTTTGATATGCTAATATTTCTGTGGTTTCTTATTTATATCAATCGAAGAAAATGTTAATTTTCAGTTAGAAATTAGTGAAAATAAAATTTTTTTCGAAAATAAAAGTTCAGGCGAAAAGAGATTAGAAAAATAAGAGATAAATTTGTGTTGAATGAGTTTATATTTTTGAAAATATTTCTAATTTAAAGTTTTCGCTCGTAAATAAGGAATTTTCTCTATAAGGAGAAAAGGATGAGCGAGGCAAATTCAATTTTAACGGAAGGAAATAGTTCAATCATTTATGTGCAAGCAATTTCGATAAATCTTGGTAAAAAAAAATTTATTTTATGAATTTTAGGTTGTAAAAATTCTTTTACAATGTGGGAATGATGTTGAAATGCCTGAAGAAGATTTTCGAATGCCAGGGAAAGAAACTGATCGTCGAGATGATGATATTAGTTGCTTGGAAAAAGTTTTGGAAGCTCATTCTAAACATGGAACGAAATCGAAAGAGAGTATGTTAAAATTTTGCAATTGCAACTGAATAGAAATATATTTTGCTATATGTTATTTTATTTGTAGTCAAAATTTATTCAAAATTGGTGTTACATAATTGATATATTTGTGTGATATGATTTTTTTGCGTAGATTATTTATTATTTATTTAGACAAAAAAACTCTTCCCGCACCAATGGAAAACGATGATGATGGTAATAATGTGGGAGATATCCTGAATTTGGACCATGAAATAGTTCGCGAACTTTTGGAACAATTCCTGCCAATTTTTTGTGATGTTTTTCAGGTACTAATTGTTTTTTAATTCTTGGTTTCTCTTAATATTTTTATTTTATTTTATATTTTTATTTATTTTTATTTAATATATTAATATATTTTAATATATTTTATTTTTATTTTATTTATTTTTTTTGTTTCAAGAAAATTTTGAAAACTTTATGCTACAAATTATCGTTAATATTACTGCAGCGTTCTATCGGAATGAACATACGACGCATTTGTCTTTCGCTTTTACGAAAAACAATTCATTTTATGTCAAATAGTTCGCTAGATTCATTGTTATGCAATACTGAAGAGGAAAATTTATCGATAGATTTTGGTGGCAGAGGACAAGGGCTTGCAGAGAATATTATCAACGTTTTAGTTATGGCTTTAGATCAGGAAGATGATATTGACTGTCACGAAAACGCCCTAAATGTTAGTGATTAACCTTCAGTTTTTTTTTTGAAAATTTGATTTTAAGTTTATTTTGCACAAAAAATTTTCAAGAAAAAATGTCCCATTATATCTCATTATTTCTTATTTTTTATATTTTTAATCTTTAATCAGTCTTATTTTATTTTTTTATCGGTTTTTTAATTTTTGCGATAACGTTATAAAGGCTTTTATTTAAGGTAATTAAGTCACTTTTTTCAAAAAATGCTGATTTTTGGCTAGAACAGTTTATTCGTGTGGGAGTCTTTGAAAAAGTAGAAACAATTGCCACGCAACCTCCTCCTGTATCCAAAGGAGGTTTGGTAACAACTATGGTTGTGGATGAAAGTGGTCATGTATCGAGTGCGTCATCCGTTTCGGTTTTGGAAAGTCAGCTGGTCAAAGCTGCTCCCAGTTTGTTATTTGATAATTTATAGTCAGAACTTTGGCTTATTCATTCATTGCCAAAAAATTTGTTTATTATTTTAAAATTTACTTATTATATGCTTATTGTTTATTTTTTGGAGATGTTTCAATGGTAGAAGATCAAAAATCCTCATCGGAAATTGGTGTGAATCAAAAAGCATTAATTTGCAACCAAAAAAATCGTGAAATTTTGGATAAAGTTTCAAATATAATAACAGGTTCAACATCTGAACAAGGTGGTCTGGATTTATCGTCATTATTAAAAGAAACGAATAAGGTCTTACTTGCTATATTAATTGATGTCTGTTTTCGAAATATTTTTTTTTTGCCAAATATAAATATTTGCCAAATATAAATTTTTGTAGAGATCGAGATAGTTAAATTTAATCAGACTAATCATATATAATTATGTGTTGAAGCAGTTTTTTTTGTATTTGTAGCATATCTTTCTGACGAACTGTACAAAGATATGTGCAATAGAAGGTCTCTTAAAAAATATACGGCCACCGATATGTCTCTTTTCAATATTATTATATGTATTATAGGGCTTATCATAATTTTTCTATTAAAAAATATTTTATTATGTTCATTATTATTTTGTACAACATGAATTTAGGCGAACAATCATACGGAAAGTTTTATAGAATCAGAAGTTAAATTATCGCTTGCCGCCGATGAGGCGATAGCTGAGGCCGCAGGCTTATCAGGTTAATTTTAATTTTCCATTAAATTTATTTTTTGACGGATTTGATACGGATTTGGTTTCCTTTGTTAAAATAAGAAGTGAGCATGGAAGTACTGTTAACCTTTATTTTTTTGATTCAGAATTTATCATTTTATTATGTTTCATAAATTTTCTGTTTTCGATGCTTCTAATGACCCATTGACGAGAAAGGGAAGAGAATCCGGTCTTGATGATGACGATCAATGGGAAATTGTTGAGAAAGAAAGTTACAAATGGAAGGATTGGCGATTAATGAAAAGTCGTGATTCCCTCTTCATTTGGTGTGATGCAGTTGCAATCGAATTTAGGTTTCATATTGTTTCATATTGTTTTTCTTAGTGCCTGTTATCTGTGTGATAAGGATATATATAAGATTATTTTTTCAAGTTACATCAAATGGAAAGTTCGGAAATTTTTTAAAAAAAATAGAAATTAAGGTAGAAATTTGCTTGATTTTATGATTTATTGAAAAGAATTTTTTTGTTTGTTTAGTGATGGTAGTAATGGGTGGTTTCGATTTATGCTGGATGGTCATCTTAATACAATGTATAGGTAAAATATTATGAATTTTTTTGCAAAATTTCAAATTTCTTGCTATATTTTCTCATTAGCTAGATCACTTTTTCTTTCCATTTTTTATCAGACTAATAATTTTTTTTAGTAGTGGAAGTCCGGAATGTACCGAAGATAATGTTGAAACACGTGCAGAATTTATTGCCAAATTAAACACGGCTCGAAACGCTGTTCCACCTGGAAGTTTATTGAATACAGTTTTCAGTTTGCCAACTAATAGAGTGGTTGGTTCATTTCATTTATGTTTTTTTTTTTTGGCGTCCAGTTGTTCTCGTCATTTTCATAAAGAGTTTTGAATTGTTGTCAACCTTGTAAAATGAAGAAGTTATTCATTTTTTTCTTAAAAATCTTTTTTTTAAATTTAAATTTTCTATAACAGAAATGAGACATTATGGAAAGATTCATTATTAGATTGCAAGAGCTTTATTTCGAAATGAAATCAGAGAATAAAGTTTTTAAGAAATTGAAAATACTAAACTAAATGAATCAACCTAATTTATTTAGATCGAAGTTGGAAATTGGTTGCTTACTTCGCCAAAAAATGGTGAAGTCTATATCACTAATAAACAAGGGAATCAACAGCGGCTAATTATAATGGAGGATCTCCCTGGATTTGTTTTTGATTCAAATCGTCAGACAAAGCATTGTTTTCAAGCAGAATCTACTCTTGGTTATTTTAAATGAAAAAAATATTTTTAATACCATAAAGGAAAAGTAATAGGGTAATGAATTCTTTTGAAAATCTGAGAATCTGTTTCTAGCAATAAATGATATTTTGAGTAAAAATTATTTTTAAAAATTATAGGACTTGACTTTGTTACCGGTTGGGCTGCACGTGGTGGTGCTCGTCGTTTACGCTTCCGTGCAGAAGCACAAAAGGTCAAACTTCAAGAACTGGCTTTAGAAATCTATGAAAAATATTTAAAAGAGGCGAGATCCAAACCTCGTGATGCTCTGTTGAAATTGCAGAAATCATCTGCTGCAATAAAGGTTCTGTTAAATATTTTTTATATTTGTTTCGTAAAATTTACGCGCTTTATTTTTTATTTTTTCTTGAAAATTAATCAAAAATAAAATAAGACAATATTAAACGTTTTTCATAAGTATCAGAAATATTTTTAGGGGATTTGTGAAACGTATTCAACTCAATTTTTGCCAATGAGTCCATATAACGAGCTAAAGGCATCTTTGAATTGTTTATATAATTCTGTAATTAATGATCGACTTTTATCCACTTTTGAATTCTCCATATCGAAGGTGGTAGAAGCGTTGTTATCACTTTTGTTAGTTGTACGAAAGGATCTTAAATGTTCTATAGCTAACGTGTTTAAAAAGGTAAGTATATTTTGAATAAAAAAATCTGAAAATCTTTTAAATTTTTTGTTTCAATATCTTAATTTTATTTTATTTTAAATTTAATTTAAATTTTGTTTTTTGTATTCATTGATAAGTATTTGTTGAATCTGGCCGAAAAAAATTATTTTAATCGAATATTAATAGTAATTTCTTTTTCAAGGTCTTTTCGGACTCTCGTTCGTTTCATGCATTAGTTCGAAAAATGGTGCTTATACTTGAAGCTACCGAAAAATTCCCACAGTATCTCTATGATACACCAGGTGGTTCTTCGGTAGGGATCCAGTTGCTCGGGCGTAAGATTCGTTTTAAGCTTGAGCAAATCAATCCAAAGGCAGCAAGCCAAGGGCATTTATTGAATAGGTTGTTTTGTTTCCGAAACAGTTTTCTTTTTGTTCAGAAAATGTCAACAAGATATATATAAACTTTTTTTTTATGTAAATGTAATTTCAATTTAAAGATTTGAAAAAAATAATATAGAATATAAACAAGAAAATTTTTTTTCTGTCCAGCAGATAACCAATGTTAACCAGTAGTAAAAATATTTATAAATGCAAATTTTTTTATGAAAACATTTTTAATCATTTTGAATATACAAATGAATTATAACAAAATAAGAAATAAAAAATGGCGAAATACTTTTGATAATTTGATTAAAAATTCTAAAAATACTGTAAAAAATACTGTAAATTCTAAATGTAAATTATTAAATTAATTCGAGATTTGTTACTCAGCGCCTTTGATCCTTTTTTTTTATATTGTTTATGATATAGGGATATTATTAGGGAAAATAAAATCAAATAGTTAAGTTAGCAGTTAAGCGATCATCATTTTCGAATTGTCTTATTTCCCTGACTATTACTGTGGGAGTTTTTTTGAAGAAGTTACTGGATGCTTATGTCGTCAATCAAATTTTTTTCTATTAATTCCTTTCGAGGGCATGAGCTGAATCCTCTCAGTGCGATAATCTGAGCTGTTATCATGGAAAAATGTGGAAGTGATAAATATGGTATTATTTTCTATTACAGAACAGGCAGAACAATGAAGATTGAACCGTTGACCACTGCAGGTCAGCTTCGAAATTACATTTTACGAATGGTTGCAAGACAGTGGTATGATTGTTCAAGGGAATCATTCAATTTTGTGAAGCAGATCGTTAATGCTAAAAAACATGGAAAAGATATTTCTTTCGATTATACTAGCGATTTCGACGAAAGAGGTATTAGCATTTTTTTTCTGTTGGAAATTAGATGGTGATTTGTGGCATCGTTTTCCAGGCATAATTTATTGGTTGGGTACAAATGGGTGTACTGTAAATGATTGGGTTAATCCAGCCACTGTTGGCATTGTTCATATTACGACTTCTGATGGAAGTTTACCATACGGTCGTCCAGAAGATATCCTTAGTCGCGATATCAACGCTTTAAATTGTCATAGCAGTGATGATAAGTTCGTTTGCGATTTATAATTTTTTATCATTTTAAATCTATATATTTTTATTTTCTTCTATTTTATTTTTCAAGTTTTAAATTAATTTAGAAATTTTTAAAAATTTGATTATTGAGGTTTTTCTGATGAAAATTTATATTTTTATTTTTTTTTTTTAAGGAGAGCGTATTTCGTCATAGACTTTGGTGTTTTGTTCCACCCTTCGTATTATACTTTGCGGCACTCACGAGGCTACGGTCGTTCAGCATTGCGGTCATGGAGTATCGAGGTTTTTTTGTAGGCTGTTGTTATTTAGAGCATTGTAGTGTAATTTAATGAAGGTTGTGGTTTTGCAAACAGCATATATTTTATAGGGATCATATGATGGAGTAACTTACGACACTTTAAAAACACACACTAATGATACATCTTTAAATGATCCTGGATCAACTGCATCATGGCCACTTAGCTATTTAGATAGTCGAAGTTTGTTCTCGTTATTTTTTATGAAGCAGTTAATCATGTTTTTTTTTTTATTATCTTCAGAACTATCTTCAGATAGTTCACAGCTTCTGCTTTAATCGATGGTTTTATTTCAGGGCCATATCGATTTATCAAAATTACTCAAGGTGGTAAAAACTCTAGTAATCAAACATACTACTTATCAGTGTCGGGTTTTGAAATATATGGCAAAATCGTTGATGTTTTGGTAAATTTAATATATCTATTTTTTTGTTTCCATTTAACGAATCGGTTTAGATGTGATTTTTCATTTTTAAGGCCGTTTATTTTTAGGTGGATGATTTTAAACCATTCGAACCTGCTGAGAAAAATCAGAATTCCGCCAAAAATCGTCCAAGGAAGATTTTGCTTATTAAAGACAGAAAGGAATCAAAAATGAAGAAAGATGTTGCAAAAACTGAAAATTCAGAAAGAGCATCGGCTCCTCCTGCCAGTAATATACGTAGTGAGGAACCAACAAAGGGAATGGATAAATCTCTTTCTGACCTAGCATTTGCACATCTTCCTGGTGGAATTCTTAATAACAGATTAGCAGCTGATCTTCGTTCTCATTCGAGCACGCATAATATGGCATTAAAAAATCGGTAAATATATAATTTTATTTTAATTTGTGCCATATTCTGTCTGGCACATAGGAAATTGTGCAAATCAATCGCGTTTAAATTATATCTTCTATAAAAATTAGTATTTTTTAACCTTTTTATTTTAGGATGTTCCGTTATTATCAGTCTCATTTATGGCCTCCAGCATCTAATGATGGAACTAAAATTGGCTCATCTGAATCAGTTATATCTGCAAACGAACGTTTGAGAAAAGATGCTGAATCTCACACTGGATTGGTTGGGGAACGGGTAAGACGAGGTCCTGACTGGAAATGGAATAATCAGGGTGGTGATATGGAAGGAACGATCTGTTCATCATTAGAAGATGGTGATTTTTTTTGCTTTTTTTAAATGAAATCTACAAAATGTAATTGCTACTGTGAAATTATTGTAATTTCATATTTTCTTTTTTACGGTCATTTAGGATGGGTTGACGTTTTGTGGGATGATGGGAGCACTAATTCATATCGTCTTGGAGCTGAAGGAAAATTTGATGTAATGGTAATTCCACGTCACCATTTTAAATTGGTTTGCTTTTTGTGCGAATAATATATTAAAATATTTTATTTTTTATCATTTTTCTACTTTTTTTGTTCGCATAAAATTTCTTTGCATCATTTATTCCTTCTTTAGGGATACAAACGTGGTAGTAAATCATCTACAGTTTCTCGACGAGTTCATGCAACAGCAAAGCAGTCTGCCCAGCAGTTAGTTCATGGGTAGTCATTTATCTTTTCTGCTAATTTTTTCTATTTTTATGGGCAGATATGAAATCGAATATAAATTTCGAATGAATTTTGGAGGTCATGTTTTGCGAAATTTTTTGCTAAAATTTTTTAATTTTTTAATTTTTCATAAAAATTACAAATTTATCAGCGAAGACTTACGGAATTTTTCATTGAAGATTGTGTCATAAGGAAATTACCCCTTCATTACTATTTGTTCGCGAAAATTCTGTTCAAATCGTTTTTGGCTACTCATAAAATTATTTTTTAGGCGTCAGTTGCCGCCTGCTCCCCGACATTCTATGGATCATACTGCTGCAGGTTCAATATTGAGATCCACCGGTTTCAGCCCAATGAATTCGAGATATTTTCGAACAAATGCTCCTCTAACTGAAACTTTGGGTGATTTCATTTTCTTGATTTATAAATTCACAGTTTTGATTCTTTTTTTTAATATTTAATATATTATATTTGGATATTTATATTGAAGTTTAGATGCTCAATCTCGCGATAGTCGAGCCGGTTCAGTTATAGGGACTACATCTTCAACTATTTCACAAAAGTCTATGTCCACTACAAATCTTTTAGATGTTCGTAATTTTTGTTTATTATGTTTGTGAGGAGTTTGTAACATTTGATGGCAATGTATCTATGCGTGAATTTTTATTATTTTCGCAATTTTCCCTTTTTAGAGGGCGGAACATGAGAAACATTATTCTGTCGCAAGTAGTAATCAGGCTGCTAGTGCTGAGTCGCTTCAGCATCAAACTCCTTCTCTCGAAAATTTGCTCGCTCGGTCAAAGATTTTTGGAGATCGTATACCGGAAGTTGTGAGTGACGAGGCATACTCTGTAACCGAATCCCGAGAAAACGGTAGAGCTTGCATTTTTCCTTCACATTCGTAGTTTTTTTCATGGCATGTATTTTTACTATTTAGAAAAGGTTAACATCATTAATCATTTATTATTTGTCTTTCATTTATTAATTTCTTTAACTTAATAGTTGACAATGAAATAGAAAGTGACGTTTCAAATAATGTTGGTTTCTTCGAAATGATTGAAGAGTTTGAACGGGATTTGCAGATTAATCCAACTGAAACTGGAGATCACGCGTGCATTAAAAAGTTAGATTTTTTTTGAATGAATAAAGGCAGATAGTTGAACATTATAAATATTTATTATAATTATTTAATATTTCAGTTCTTTCATCAACGTATCTCAGTCCACTCATCGAAGATTGGATGAAGAAGTCGAAGATGAAAAAACATTAAAGGTTGTTAATGAATGCGATGTTGCCAAAAAGGAAATTGTAAAGGAAGATTTGACCAGTTGTTCATCAGCGTTATCAATTAATAACGCCGATATGAAGGATTTGCCATCGTAAGATTGTTGCATTACTAGTCTTACCATTAAGATACAATTTTGATTAAAGAGGTATTTTTACAGTCTTAGTATTAGTGCACCCGACCTTATTCTTCGTCATGTACAAAATCTAGCTACAACTGGTGATGGAGAGAAGGAAATTGATGGTGAAATAAAAGATTTTGTGAAACAATTAGTCGACAGCACGCATCTCATAACGAAATCTACTATTAAGAGTGATTCCGGTTCAAATGGTATTTATTCTTGTTTTATTCCTTTTCGAATTCAATCTTATGTAGATCATCTATTTCGGGGCAGTATGTTTAGATTATCAATTTATCATGTTCGGTACCCCTTAGCTAGGAATACCTCATTAAAAATCATACTAAGTACTGTGGAGGATTTTCTCTCTATTCTCCTCTCTATGGTGAAAAATTTGACGTAATAGTGAATAAGATGAACCAAGCTGATGATTGGCTGATGGCTGTGAAAAAAAAATCTATTTGAAGAGTAATTTTGGTTAAGTTTGTTCTCTAAGTTCGTTTTACAAAATAAATTTTATCTTTTGTTTTGTATAGTTGAAGTCGTTTTGTCTAATAGTTCCTTTTTTTTAATAGTTGCTAAAAACTAGACTTGAGGTGGAAACCTGAATATGAGTATATAAGAATAAAATTTATGGTATAAGAATTTTTCCAGATTATTTCCATTCTGAAGGTTTGCAAGGATCTAATCTTCCAGTTGCTGGCACGAATACACATGAACTAACTGAACAGGGTACTCGTGATCTTTTGGATGTTTATATTCAGCTTGTCGATGCCGGTGAATTTTTTTTATTTTTTTCATATTGAATAGAATCCTCTAGGACCATTTATTGAAATGAAATGAATGTTTAATGGAAAAAATTGCTGTTAAGTTTAAATGATCATAGTGCGCTTATATGATATTCTTAATTTGGTTTATTGCAATGCTTTTTACCAAAATTCGTTTTTATTTGCGGCTATATGATATTAACTATACATCTTATTGATCTTATTGTAGAGGATACTTCTTATGCACCTTTCGAAGGTAGCGGAAGGTCTACTGAAAGAAATGAGGCATTGCATGGGAATGAAATTGCTTCTCAAAATGAAGCTGCTAAGGGTATTATTAATTCATTTTGCAAATGATTTTTTTTTAAGAATTTTTAATTTTTTCTGGCCTGGTTAGGTCTCCCCGTTGGTTTTACAGACAAATTTAAACAAATTGCTAGGTTTTTGTTGAGTTTTTTTTATTCCAGTGATAATTCGTTGGCCTTTGATAGGGTTCAGTATATTATGTATGATGTTAATCATGGTTGATTGTATCGTATTTTTCATTTCATTTGCTTATGGTTTGGTTTCGTGGGTTTGAGGAGGTTTCTGGGGCTACTTTAAAGTTTTTTTTTGCTGTTCATTTTTTGTTGCCTTGGTTTATTTTTGTTTTAGTTGTTTTTCATCTTATTATGTTGCATGTTACTGGAAGAACATCTGTTCTTTCTGGTTTTGGGGATTATGATAAGATTGGTTTTTTTCCTTATTATTGGTTGAAAGATTCTTATAATTTGGTTGACTTTACCTGTTTTAGTTGAGGCTTACTATATTGTTGATGGATCGTAGTTTTAATGCTTTTTTTTGATTCTAATATTTTTTTGATTTTTTTTATTTTTTTTATGGTTTTTGGTTAGTGATGTGTTAGTAGGTTATGGTAACACAAAACCAAAAAAAAATCCATCATCTTATCATAGTGAAAACGAGAAAAAAACTACGTACAGAAACCACATGAAAAAAATAAAAATACAACCATTTTTGGTTTCAAAACAAAAAAAATATCCAAAAAACAGATCGAACAAAAATTGTCAGTTTTTGTTTTTTATTATTTTTTAGTTGATTGGATTGATTTTTAACACAAAAACCCTCAAAAACAAAAATATAATCCAAAAAACATACAAAAATACCCCATCGTAAGGAGGGGATCTTATAATTAATTTTTAATTACTAAATTTCCCAATAAACAAAAATTAAATTTTTCAACAAAAAATCAATCCAATCAATTGAAAAATAATTAAAAATAATAAAAGCACATGGTGATGAAGGTATAGGTGCGTTACTAACACTACTCAGATTTTCGAAAGAAAAGTTTATTTCTAGCCGAGATAAGATCAAAGATTATGAAATTAAGATAGCTATCTAATTTATTTATATCAGTGGTTTCAGAAGGAAGAGAAAGCTATTCTCAAGAACTCGATAATGAAATAGGATCTTATGCAGATGCTTTACGTTGTATGGTTATGCAGCATATCATCAATTCTCATGGTTCAATTAATCAAATTGATATTGAAGACGTTGAGGTGACTTAATTTTTTTTTTCTTCTTAATTTTATATTTAATCATGATTTTAATTTTTAAAGGATGATATATATGACGAAGATAGGGATGAAACGAACGAGGATGACTGTGACGAAGAAATGACTCAGGGATTTGCCGTTGAAGCTCTAGTGCAAGCAGCGGCAGCATTACAAAGGCAATCAAGTTCTGGAAGTACCAACTCTAATGCCGAACAGAAAATCAGTTGGAAAGATGTCAATCTTTCATTTTCAATTTTTGCTTTATGATATTAAATTTTTTTCTATTTTATTACATTATTTTTATTATTATTATTTTATTATTTATTGTATTATTTTTTGTCTTATCAATCTCCATATCTTTCGCCTTACATATTTGCTTTCTTCTTTTGCTTATTTTTTTTGTTGTGTAATCACAAAAATAAATATCTTTCAGGTTGTCATGAGCGAAGCAGGTCGTATTTTCGGAAATCGTAATTTGAGAGAATCATCCGCATCGGATCAGCCTCAACATGGCGCAGGTATTAATCGGAATTGGGATGATGATTTTGTTTTAAAACAGCAGTTCCCTGCTCTTATTCCAGCATTTGATCCTAGGCCTGGTCGTACTAATGTTAATCAGGTTTTTCTTTGCTTTTAGCGATTTTTAGTGATTATAATTTTGAAAATGTGCAAATTAATGTATCTAATTCTTCACACATTTCACACTTCCACATTTTTTTCTAGACGCAAGATGTTGAATTGCCACCGGCAATTCCATCCTCGAAGAAGTTGTCATATATCTTTCCATCTTCACTGGAAATGGGAAAAGATCCTTTGTCTGCTAAAGTAAGAGAAATTTTATTTTCATTAAATTTTTGTTTTTAATCAACATTTTTACTTATCCTTTTCATTTGGTTTTCTTTTCTTCGTTTTGGTTTGCTTTTTTTTGTTGTTTTTTGCAGTTTTTTTCTTTAGGAACCTAATATATCATTATTTATTCGTGGTCCGAATATTACAAATGTTCCCAATGCGGTTATTAAATTGGAGCAAGAACTTGATGATAAAACTATTTTTTATTTTTTGCAACAACTTATTCAGAATATTGATTGGGGGCAGGTCAGATAATTTCTCAATCAATTTTAATTTATGGTCTTTATCTGGAATTATTTAGTGTCTTATTTGCTTTAATTTACAATTCTTTGGATATTTCATCCAGACAATATACAGAAAAATGATCGTGCTCGTCGGATTTGGGAATTGACATATACTTTAATCTACGGCGAACAGTCGGATGAAACGACCAACATTGAAACAATCAACAGTTTATTCAAAGAATCCTCTCGTTTTCCCGATATAGTTGCTAGTGTAAGTGGTTGATTATCACATATTTTTATAGATAATCCTTTGTGTTTCTTAGCATTATATAAATATTATTTTTTAAAAATGCATTTAATGCACTAAGATTTTGTAAAAAAGTGGCTGCTAAGAAGAATTTTTTAAAGAATTTTCACGTATTTCTGATTTAATATAATTAGTTCCTTGTGGGAAAGCAAATCAATCTTATTTTTTCTTCTGCATACCTTGAACCATCCTTTTTTTATTTTTTATTTATACTGCCTTTAATCTTTAGAATTTTGTGAGACTAATTGAACCTACTGGTGTCAAATGATTTTTTCTCAAAAAAAAAATGATCTTATGATGCATATATTCAAATTCTTTTAAAAGCTTTTCCCATTACTGGTTAGGTTAGCTCCACTGACCTCAAGGGTAAGACGTCTCCAAGCTGCTCAGTGCAAAACCATCGCTAATAGTAGAAAAAGCCATTCTTTTTTCCATCGTCTAAGTCCATATATCACTGGTCCCCCTATACGTTCAAAATCTTTCCTGACTGTATCAGTCCAAGTCATGACTGGCTCTCCTTGCTTTTGACGTCACCACAATAGGTTTGGGCAAATGTCGAAATATACATCAATTCTTGTGGTGGACGATGAAGAACATGTAACCAGCGGAGGCGACGCTCCGTGATGAAACCGTTAATACAAGTGGTATTTGAACGAAGATGAATGTGATCATGTGAAATTTTATCCACTCAGTGAACTTGTAAAATGTTTGGACGCGAATTTCCTGGTGATGTTTTCATGGTGATTTCGCGACGATCCCATAGAGATTTCATCAACCGAGAAAATATATTTCTAGCTGTCGTTATAATTTCATCCTTTACCTGGCCATTTGTGATTAGAGTGGATACAAGGTATTTAAAGTGGGACACTTTCTCAGCCGACAATGAATTGATAAAAATAAGTATTTTATCAACATCTTGTATATAAGACGGAAACACTTTCATTGATTTTGAGTCCAATTCTTGCTGCTTGTTGACACATTGTTTAGCATTATTTGCATTTCATTATAACTGTCAACAAAAAGAACTACATCATTAACGTATTCGAGGTCTGTGATACGATGCTCTGGAGTGATTTGGACACCTCTTGAATGCTAACAAGCGTATCCATCATCCAGCATATCGCATAGTTGAATACTGTAGGAACAAGAACGCAAATAGTCACCAATTATTATTTCGAAGAAGTTTGTCAGTTCCTCATATACACACCTGTACCAGGGTCTGCTAATAAATGCTTTTATGAGCAGAATAATCTTCTCTGGGACACCGTCACATTCTATCATTTTCCAGAGCGCGGCTCTACCAATCGAACCGAAAGCAGCTGCAAAATCAATAAAGCAAGTCACGGTGGGTTGCTGGTAATCTAGCAATCTTCTAGCATCATTTTTAGATATCTGGTCAGCAAAACCGCGTCCCGTCTGAATCTAGCTTGGTTAGGACGCATCTCGTGCTGCCATGAGTCTATTTAGCAGAAGGGAAGCGAAAATTTTTCCTGAGATGTCTAGTAGGCTCCTTGGTAATTATCGTAGTCCCTTCACCTTTCTTAGGAATTGGAAGCAGAATGTTGCTTTGCTCCAGTTTTCTGATATTATTTTTTTTTGCCATACCAGAGAATACATTTGTTGAAGGTGCATTATGAACGATGATAGACAACATTTGAAAAGATCAACCCGAAGACTATCTTCTTCGCGAGTTTTATTGGCCTTGAGCTTATGGATTATAGAGATTATTTCTTCTCCTGTTGATGGTTCACAAACGTAAGGCTCTATGGGCGAATCTGTTATATTCAGAATAATAGATGGTGCATCGTGGTTAAATTTGGTCTCAAAAAATTTTTTCCATCTTCTGAGGCAATCCTTGACAGCTTTAATAGGCACCCCATTAATCCCGTACCATTTCACTGATCCCTTCTCGAGTTATAGTTGTTTTGTGAAGAAGGCGAAGCAGTTTCCTATTATCAGCTATCCGAGCAGCATTCTCCATTCTTAAGCCATATCGCTCCAGTAGCGATGTAATTCTTCGAGGGGCCCGATAGTCAGAGTTTTTTCATACATTCGGGCTTTGGCAATTTTTTCAGACAGTTGGATGTTGCTTTCGATACCCAACTAGCTACTAATATACTCTAGTGTGGAAGTGGCTGATTTTTATAGGCATGTTTTTAGTTGGGACCAGTATTCATTCGTTTTTCCGGAAATGTTATTATATGTCATCGTTCATTTCGCTGTTTCAATAATACGACTTACGACTTGTCAATTTTATATGAATCTTGGCTCGAACCATAACATAACATGATCTGGTCCATGTCGTTTACCAATTTTATCTCCCCGATAACAACGACTATCAAGTACAGAACTCTTCCAGCGGAGACTGACTAATATATATACTCATTCTGTTTTGAATATTGGTTGACCAGAGAGTTCCACGTGATTAGTATGCCGAAAGCGTATGTTAGTAAGAAGGAGTTCAAGCTCTTTGGCAAAACGAAGAAGGCCTTCTCCATTGGCGCACTGGACCTCGATGCCATATTTACCAATCGCCAATTCATCGTAACGGCATCATGACTTACGCGTGCATTCCAGTCTTCCCCGATTATGACTACGTCACCTCTCGGTAGGGATATTGTTAACAGTCGAACTTCCGCTTAGAACTTATCCTTGTCAGGATCATTTGCGTATAAAGTTGGAGCATATACAGTGATGACAGAAATGTTGCAGAATTTTCCTTTGAAAAGCGAGTAGGCCATACGGTCATTTACTGGCTTCCATTCAATCAGAGCGAAGCGGATTGAGCCTTTTCCGACATGACAATCATTATGCCGTTTCCCCCCATGTTGTCCGAAACATCACTGTGGTATAGCCAATATTTTTACTCGGAACTAGGTTTAATACTTATCGAGAGCCGACATAAAGAAGACGAACCTCCCACTAATAAGCCACCTCCGTGATATTAAGAGAGAGTTTGAACAGATCGCTTGGCTTGCATCCACGCATGCTACTTCTACTTATGACGTTCCATGCGGCTATAGCCAGCATCTCACTGCGTACACAGAGTATTAGCGGATAGGTTCTCGCCTCCCTTGAGGATTTTAAGTGCTTATCTCGGTTCGCGAACAATTTCTATGTTTGTATTTTTATTATTATTTCGCCCGGATCGTATATTTTTCTCATGAACTACCAGGTTAGAAGTAGGATTAGCATGCGTGGCGGAAGACGCGACGTCGCGGCAAAGAGACCTGACCTTTTCACCAAAGAGTCACTTGGAAATAGAAATAAAGGTGGGTCTCCAGCAGCCACCCGGATTTTGACATAATGACAGGTTTACTCCTGTCAGTGATAGAGGATAGAGATAATTAAATTTAAAAAGAAAAATTTAAGAAATATTAATAAAAAACAGAAATATTTATTAGTTTTCTGTTCTAAAATTTTTTAAAAAAAGAACATAACTGAATTAACAAAAAATTGTTGAACAATAAGATTTTAGTCGGAAAATTGGAAATAAATATCAGGAATATATATATCAGGATAATTTGTTGAAACGACCGCTCGCAATTCAAAATATATTTAAATAAATGTTTTAAATGTCATTTCATGTAATAAAATATTAATGGTATATAATTCTTGATGTGAAAAATTGTGTAATTTTATCTCATGGAAATAAATAAAGCCTTATTAGGATTATGTATTTTGATGTAAATAGCGATATTTAGACCTTAGCTGTTTTATCGAATTTGCACAGTCTCATCTGGACTATCGATGATATTGAGACGACGTCCAATATGTTTGTGAGCGAGAAGCTTACTCAAAAATTGATGCAAGAATTATCAGATGCTTTAGTAGTCGCTTCTTGTTCTCTCCCTCCATGGTGCAATGAATTAGTATACAAATATCCTTGCTTATTCAGCTTGGAAACAAGGTAAAATTTAAGTTTTTTTTCTATTTTTGCTATATATTTGGTCTTTTTTTTTCCGAGTTATTAAAATTGATTACTTTTCCTCCTTTGCCATTATTTCGAATAAAATCGGTCATGAATGTTGTGATTCTTCTAGTTTTTAGTTTTTAACAAAGTTGACATTAGTTGTTAATATTTCTCTGTATCATTGCAAATTTTTTTTCTTGCGATGTCTCAGTAAAATTGAATTTTAGAATTGATTATTTTCGAGCAACTGCATTTGGCAAATCACGCGCTGTTGTTTGGCTGCAAAATCGTCGAGACATGGTTTAGAAATTACAGAAATTACATAAAAATTATAGAAATTACAAAAATTTTTCACATTTAATGCATTTAATGTTATATTGTTTCGTGGCTGGAAGGTGATCAGTCATTTTAGATAATAGAGCAGTCGCGTGGAGCTACCACTGTTAATGCACTTCCAAATATGGCTGGAGGTAGGAGGGACGACCATTATCCAGAATATCGTATTGGTCGTATTAAACATGAACGAATAAAAGTTGGTTTACGTCATGATTATTATTTTCCTTCTTTTCTTAAAAATCTGAAGATCTGTGGTTAATTGCTTTTTTATTTTTCAGGTTCCACGAGATGAAGACTCGCTGTTTGAATACGCAGGTCGTGTGATGAAATTTCATGCACCTCGCAAATCAATATTAGAAATTGAATATATTGGGGAAGAAGGCACTGGTTTGGGTCCAACTTTAGAATTTTATGCATTGGTACGAATGCAACTTTAAATTTGAAATTATTTGAAATTTGAAAACATATAAATGCTATTGTGATAATTGAAAATTTTACTTTCACTATTACTACTTTACTATTTTACTTTCCTTTATGAATTATAAATTACAAGTTTTTTTTCTTCTTATAATATTCATCAATATTTTGTTTTAGGTAGCTGCCGAGTTCCAGAAAAAAGCCTTAGCCATGTGGATCTGCGATGATAATGATGAAGACCAGTCGAGAACACTCGATCTTGGTGAAGGAGTCAAGCCTCCTGGGTTTGTTTTTACTTTCGCTAAAGAATTGAGGATTATTAAAATTCAATAATAATTTGCAATAATAAGTTTCTATATATATATTTACTTAAAAAATCTAATTTAGGAAACATTTGTATCTATTCTAAATGAATGAATTATAAAGAGGAATTTTCTATTCACTGGTTTGAAGCCGAATAATATAATATAATTTCGTGCATTTCTTTCTAATTGTTTTCACTATTTTTTAAGGTATTATATACGTAGAGCTGGTGGCCTTTTTCCTGCTGCTACTCCAGCAAAAACAGAGGAAAGCAAGCGAGTTTCGGATTTGTTCCATATTTTAGGAATATTCCTCGCTAAAGTTCTACAAGATGGTAGATTAGTAGATTTGCCGTTGTCGAAACCTTTTCTTAAGCTTCTTGTTGCTCCAGAGGTTCGTTCGATTTACTTTTGAATTTTTATCAGATCCAATTGTTTTTGCTTTTTTTCTGCTCTTTTTTAGGTTTCTGAGTATCCCGAGGTACGCTTGAACAATTTGCTTACACTCGATGATCTAGAAATTATAGCTCCTATGAGAGGTTTGTAATTTCCACTTAAAAATAAAACATTTACAATAGATTCTTTATCCAATTTTTTTCACCATAAAATCATATTTTTATAAATCTCTAATTTATATATCTGTGTCTTTAATTTCTATATTAAATTATTTAAACATATCTCCGACGTTTTTTCGAAATTGAAATAAAATGCAGGTAATGTATTGAAAGCTCTGGCTAAATTCATTGCTGGTAAGCGAGCTATAGAATCGAACAGGAGTCTCAATTTGTTAAAGAAAAAAGAGAAACTCCAGGAGTTGAAAGTTGAGATAAATGGTACTTTCTGTCGTGTTGAAGATCTCTCTCTTACCTTTGCGTAAGCTTTATTTCTTCCAATTATATTTTCTTCTTTAGATGTTTAATAAATCAATTATTTTTATCAAATTATTTTTGTGTATATCTTTGTGAAATAAATTATTATATTATTTGCCATAATTGTGATGAATTTACGTTTATATCATACCACATTTAACATTGTGGCATTTTGTTGTAGTGTGAATCCTTCATCCTCGGTTTTTTCTTACGCAGAATTGGAATTAATAGAGAAAGGCGCAGATACGAATGTAACGGTGGACAATGTTGATAGTTATCTTGATAATTGCATCGACTTTTTCTTAGTTGATGGCATTCGAAATCAGGTAGTTTATTGCTAATTTATTATAGATTAAAAAAGGATTTTTTAATTTTTCTGAATTTATTATTTATTATAGATAGAAGCGATGCGCAGAGGTTTTGATTTAGTTTTTCCGCTCAAATCGCTAAGATTATTTACTGCTGAGGAAGTTCAAGTTTGTTTTTTCAAGTTTTCGATGATTTTTTAAAATTTCATTCTTTTCTGGTAAATTTTAAGTTTAAATTTTAGCATAAATTTTAATTTTAGCTTTCCACTATTACCAAAAATTTATCTCAAATTTTTAGAAACTTCTATCTGGTGAACAATATCCAGAATGGACACGAGAAGATGTGATGAATTACACAGAACCAAAATTGGGCTACACTAAAGACTCTCCGGGTTTTCTTCGTTTTGTTGATGTTTTGGTTGGTATGAATGCGTCAGAAAGGAAATCGTTCCTTCAATTTACCACGGGTTGTTCTTCTTTACCACCAGGTTATTAATTTTATTTTTTAATGATAATTATAAATTGCCTAATTTAATTCATCCATCTTCTTCTTCTGACAGCTCAGACCATTGTTGGTTAGGCTGGCTCCAACGGCTACAAGTATAAGTTGCTTCCAGGCGGCGCAGTTTGACGTTATCGTCGACAGTAATAAAAATCGCCATTCCTTTTTCTATCGTCCTGCGCGATCTGATGTCATTGTCGACACTTATAGAAGCCGCCATTCCTTTTTCCATCGTCTAAGTCCATATATTGCTGGTCCACCTATACGTTCAAAATCTTTCTTGACCGTATCAGTCCAGGTTTTGATTGGCCCACCTCGCTTTTGACGCCTTCGATTACACGGTTTAGCAAGCAATGAAATATGCGACATCTTTTGTGATGGACGACGGAGAACGTCCCTAAACACCGAAGGCGACGCTCTTGATAATATTAATACAGGTGGTGTTTGAACGAAGGTGGATGCGATCATGTGATATTTTATCCGCTCGACGGATCCGTTAAATATACCTTAGACAAGAGTCAAAGATAGGTAGCTTCTTAATATCCTTTTCTCTCATTGGCCGTGTCTCAGAACCATGTAGCAAGATCGAACGAATCACGGCTATATAGATGCGGACTTTTGTTTTAATGGTAATTTCATTACGGCTTCATAAATATTTCGTCAACCGGAAGAACTTATTTCTAGGTGCCATGATCTGGGCTAATATTGCCTTTTGCTTGGCCATTTGGTATTAGAGTGGACCCAAGATATTTAAAATGGGGCACTTCCTCGATCGGCAATGAATTTAAAAAGAGAGACATTTTATCAGCTTCTTGTACATAAGACGAAAAGACTTTCGTTTTGTATGCATTGAGTCCTATTCTTGTAGTTTCTGACACGTTATTTAGCATTATTAAAATCATTCGATTCATAATGGCATTTTATTAGAGTACTTCGGCGCAGGTGTGTGTATATGGAGAACTGACAGATTCCTTCGAAATAAGAACCTTCGAGGCTGGTGTCCATCAAGGCTGCGTCTTTTCCCTTACAATATTCAACTATGCAACAGACTTAGTAATGGACACCGCTTGTCGGCTCTCAAAGCGTGTCCAGATCAGTCCAGAGCATCGTATAACAGACCTCGAATACGCTGATGATGTAGTCCTTTTTGCTGACATGCAAGTTATGAAATGCAAGTAATGCCATTATGAGTCGAATGATCGAATAATTTTCTCTGGAACACCGTCGCATTCCATCACTTTCCAAAGCGTCTTTTTATCAATTGAATCAAAGGCAGTCGCAAAGTTGATAAAACACTTGACAGTGAGTTGTAAATATCTGAAGCGATGTTCCAACACCCTTCTTAACGTGAATATCTGGTCAGCACAACCGCGCCTCGGAATCCAGCTTGATAAGGGCATATCCTGCTGTTTCGTACTTCCATAATTCTATTGAATAAAAGGGAAGCAAAAATTTAAAATTTTAAAATTTCGTTTAAAATTTTAAAATTTTAGGAATTAAATAAGAATTTGCCAATATTAAATTAAATGTATTAAATATAATATTTAATATTAAAGGTATATTATCAGGTTTAAATTTTTTTGACCATATGTCAATATCTTCATCGTTAATAAACAGAAATATATCTTTTGAAAATAAATTACCTGGAGTCGTTTATTGGAAAATCTAATAAAACAATTCATGATCCACGTTTTTTCTTTCATTTTTCTTTGCTATTAGGTTGGAAAGAAAATAAAGATTTTTAGCACAATCCCATAATGAGAAAATTTTTTTCTATCAAAACAAGAACCATTGCATACATTTTTTTTTATATTTTTGTTAACAAGAAATAAGTTCATTTATCCCGTTAATATAAAATTCTGAAGATTATAAGAAATCTTCGAAACCTGGTTTAATTTTTGAAGTTCTGTCGCAGATAAATGTCGAGATATTTGAAAAGGTGGAGAGAGGAAAGGAATATGCTGGGTGAGATAGATTTTCATAATTTGCAGTTATTTATGCGGCATGCATATATAGAAGAATCGGCCATTTTTGATTGACTGATCTAGGACCGAAAAGTGCATTTGCACGTACTTTGTCGATTTTATGGCAGTACCTCCCTCCTGTGATGGTTTTTCCGAGATTCGAGAAGTCTTAGTGGATAATTCCATTTCCTGATCCCCTACCCCCGATTTTTTTTCATGCAGCTTTGATATGAAGGAAATTTTTGGTGGTTCTTTTCGATCCAGTGATTTCGAAGAACGTTTTCGATTGCCTTATAGAATCCGTTTTTTATTGCAAATAATCAAATGCATTGTTTTAATATTTAAAAGAAACCAAATTTCATAATGGCGCATTTTTTAATTTTCATTTAGCTCATTTGGCAACCCATTTGTCAAGCTTTTATCTCTAGTTGTATAAATAACGATTCTGGTTTGGCGAATATCTATGCCTTTTGCAGGGTTATTTTATTATTTTCGACTTATTTTGTAGGGATAAATAACTTAAGTGGAGGTCCTAACTGGTGTAGCAGAAAAAGTCCTTCAGCTTCTACTCGAATTTCGAGTTTATTATCTCCACTGCAAAACTTTCCGCGTTGAACTATGTGATCAATGACGATTCTTTAACCAAATAATTGATATATTGGCAAACAGTTCTAGTTACTTTTCAATTCAAATTCGTAAAACAAATTCGAATTTCTTCTTTCTTAACCTCTGATTTGATAATATAAAGGATTAATCACAAAAAATTATCAACGAATTTGCATAGGTCAATTTTTTCACTTCAAGGATACATTGTAAATATCAAAGTGCGAAATCTCTTCAAAATTTAGATTTTTAAAGGCTGTTATTCCAGTGAAGATACGTTTTAAAGATAATAAAAAGATTTTTTTTTGTAGGAGGTCTGGCAAACCTTCATCCTCGCTTAACAATTGTGCGGAAAGTGGATAGTGGCGATGGAAGTTATCCTTCAGTTAATACTTGTGTGCATTATTTGAAGCTACCCGATTATAGCACTGCCGAAATAATGCGTGAAAGGCTTCTTACTGCGACAATTGAAAAGGGTTTCCACTTGAACTGATCTAATAAATGGTGACTATTCTTTGTAAACTGGCTTTAATTCAGTTAAACGAATAGTTGAACGAATTTCTCAGGCTTATTTTGTATATTTCCTTTTTTTTCCATTTCTAAAACGAGAATTCATGTATTTTTCGTTTTGCTTTATTCTGAAGAACTATTTCTGTCTATTGAAACAAAATAGAATTTATAAGATTTAGTAAGGTTCATAAGAAGTGGACATTGTATTTTCAGCTAAAAATTTCACATTAAAAGGGAATTTACATTAAAAAAGATGTGCTCATAATGCTTTGTTTCCACTACTTGTTAATTTTTGGATTTATATGATTTGGATTATCAAATATTTAATATATTTCTTCCCCAATTATTCTGAATTATCATTTTGCTGCTTAATTCTACTGGTTCAAAAAATAATTTTACCATTTTAGTGTATATTTATATTTCATTTTATCTCAATTTTTGTTATTATTAGCTAAAACAATTATTTTATTGAGTAAAGTGGTTGAGAATGATTGAATTGACGGGTATATTTATATTTCAGTCAAGTGGTTTTCCTGCTCTAGTTTCTTCCTTTTTTTATTCTTGTTAATATTTTTTATATGTTTTTTCATTTTATTATTTTGATTTTATAGTCAATTATATACTTTTTATTAGACCATACCGTATTAGAGTTTTGATTCCATCACTTATTCATCCAATCTTTTTTCTAGATTTTCAGCAATCTTTTTTTAAATTTCTCGTTTAGGTAATAATTTAATTATTATTCGAAATTTGATTTCAAATTGTTATTTCCAGATCGGTTCACTAAATTTATATACATCTTTTTTTACGAATTAAATGAGGATGATTGAAAAAGGTTTCCACTTGAAATGATCCACTCAAAGAGACTAAAAAATTGAAACAGGACAGATAGAATAAAAAGCAGTTACAATCGTATTGCAAAGTGGATGAGAAGAAAAAATTGCAGAATAAAGGAAATAAGAATTGCATTTGCATTTCGCCTTTATAAACAATCCCAGAATTTCCATATATCTGCGAATATTCTTGTCAAAATAGCGAAGTACTGCCAGAAGTGCATTAGGAAAATGAATATTGTAGAAAGGGAGACTGTGGGTGACATGACAGTAAAATTGTAAATTATATCACAAGTACGTACTAATGACTCTTTTCAGGTTTCACTTATTTTTATGGGCCTTTTTTATATTTGTAGGCAAATGTCCTTAAATGGATAAATAAAGAAAATTACTTGATTGATGTTTCAGTGGAGTCATTTTATTAGGAAAGAAATAGATCATAGCAATGATCGTCTTCGTTAGGCATCCATCATCATGCGCAGTATTTTCATTTATTCTCAAATAAAAGGTTTCAGTCGATCAGCGATACTAGTTTCGATCAAACGAATTTTCTTAATTTTCTTATGCTACTTTTATTTGAAAAAAATTTGAGTTACTTTACAAATTTAAGATGATTAATCGAATATTTCGATTTATAAAAGAAATGTGTTAAAATTTTCTATGCAGGTTCCATTTCAATATATTTTATTTAGATCCGTTTAATTTGAAAAAATTTGAAATATGTGAGCACCTAAAACATTGATTGCTTAGCTAATCAAAAGTCATTTGAGCAAGTTCCTTTTTTTACATCTGCAAAATTTGAAAGAGTGTTATTCATATTAAAATTCGGGCGTTTTATGGTGAGGTTTTTATTAAAGGTTGAAGGTTATATTGTTGCTCTCATTTAGGAATGCCGATGTTGATGGCTAAAAGATGAGCATTTACTTAAATTATTCAGGTTGATCGAATGGTTATGCATCGTAGATTCGATCCCCATCCTCTAAAGAGAAAAATTAAAACTGCCATTAAAATTGCAGTATGAATGATCATAGATGCCTTGCGGACATACATTTCTCCAATTGGTCAGGCAACGATTTTAAAATTT